CTAATATAAAATATTTGGCAACGCTTTTTAGAGAACAATTTCATATGCAACACAGAACTAACACTGTCATAGACATGGAAATAAAATGTATTTATATCACCCCTAAAATCTGCATTATCTGACATATGACAAAAGGAAACCGACTGACAGGGTAGTCGATCGGAAGAGAAGTAGACTGAGCTGTTTGAGCTGTAACTAAAGAGAACTTGGAAGGCTTACTTGAAGAATAAGACGATCCTCAGAGAAGATGTGAGCTGGTTTCAACAAGTTTACTTAATGGAAGTTTAATAACGAGTAACTTCTTAATCAGCTGCTGAAGTAAGATTATGTGACATGGAGTTAAGAGTGGACAAGAAAAAGCTAAATATTTACTTCGGAGAATTCTGTAAAGTAACAGATCACTGAAAGATTTCTGGTAAGGTAACGGAACAGCTGTCTCTGTAACAGACCGTGGAGGGCCATAGGATTCTGAGAAGTCGAGGTTCCCACATTTTAGAGACAGTCAGCTCACAGATGGCAGTGGGGTTTTCAGGCTTACGAGCTGGCCGCTCTTTACCCCAGGAAGATTCCAGGAATAATTTCTGTTAGAGGCCGAGTCGACCCCAGGGCCATAGCGTAGTACGGCTGGAAGGATTTGATCAATCAAAAAATCCAGCGACCTCATCGGGAATCGAAATCGCGACCTACCCGCTTTTAGCATAGTCTTTTTTAACTCGCTTAATGGGGGAGGGGGTGGAGTCAAGGAGGATGAGGTGGGCAGGTCATGTAGCACGAATGGGGGAGAAGAGGAATAGGATATTGGTGAGAAAGCCAGAAGGAAAGAGACCACAGGGAAGACCAAGGCGTAGGTGTGTGGACAATATTAGAATGGATCTTAGAGAGATAGGATGGGATGGTATGGATTGGATAGATCTGGCTCAGGATAGGGACCAGCGGAGGGCTCTTGTGAACACGGTGATGAACCTTCGGGTTCCATGAAATGCTGGGAAATTCTTGAGTAGCTGCAGAATTGGCGGCTCCTCAAGAAGGGCTCAGCTCCATGCGTAAGTAAGTAAGTGGGGGTGGAGTCCAACTGGATCCACTCGGCACGGCGGCCACTGATTGACCTATTATAGCCTGCCCCGGGTGATTATGATGATGGACAATTTGGCGGGCTGAAGATTGGGAGGGGAAGCCGAAGTACTCGGAGAAAACTCGCCCCAGCGGCACTTTGTCCGCCACAAATCCCACTTGACCAGATACGGGATTGAACCCGGGCCGCCGCGGTGGGAAACCAGCGACTAACTGCTTGAGCTATGGCGCGGCCTTTTAGCATAGTTCCTCAACCTACTACGCTACCGCGTTCCCTTGAATGATCCCTGGTATTTAGGATACATCTAAGAAGATGCTGGATGACCTTGGGGACAGAAGAGGATACTGTCATTTGAAGGAGAAAGCTCTAGATCGCATTAAGTGGAGGAATTGTTTTGGAAGAGACTGTGGACCTGTCGTCTTGACAGATTACTGATGATGATGATGATGATGATGATGATGATGATTTAGGATAATAAAAAGAGTACATTTCCCATATTGTACTGTTTAAGTCTTACAGAACAATAAAATTAATAATTAAAATTCTGAAATCCTTTCTGTGTAAGCAAGTACTTGACTTCACCTTTCACAGTGCCTTGGTTATACGGCGGTTTGTGATCTGGTGTCACTCTTTCAGACCATATGTCATTTGTTTTCAAATTATTGACTACGGACCCTTTGTGGGGTACGCACTGGATTCTAAGATATTTTCAGAGTGAATTCAAATTCTGAAAAAAGGATCAGTATGAGTGCGGTACTGAAATTCCAAAACCGGATATCCACTAGGCAGTGTCGCGTAAAAGAAATCGATCGATCCATGAACCCATTTATAGCCTTTCCTGCTGTTGCTGTTGCTATAAAACACTAGGACGCAGAAGGAAATGTTCCGTGTATTTGGAGCAGGTACAAGAGAAGTGGGCATAGAAATAGTAGCGTGCACATCTTTTCGAAAATAATCACAAGCAGAATGGACTGCCTTAAAGTGAAACTTTTGCCGACTCTTGCATTTGTTATAAAACTACCTGAAATGAGAGCGACATTTCTTTCCGGTTTTCACTCATGCAGCTGAGCCCTTCTTGAGGAGTCGCCAATTCTGCAGCTACTCAAGAATTTCCCAGCATTTTGTGGAATCCGAAGGTTCATTTCCGTGTTCACGAGACCCCGCCACTGGTCCCTATCCTGAGCCAGGTCAATCCAATCCATACCATCCCATCCTATCTCTCTAAGATCCATTTTAATATTGTTCACCCACCTACACATTGGTCTTCCCAGCGGTCTCTTTCCTTCTGGCTTTCCCACAAATATCCTATATGCATTCCTTGCCTCCCCACTCGTGCTACATGGCCTGCCCACCCCATCCTCCTTGACTTGATCATTCTAACTATACTTGGAGAATAATATATGCAGTTTTCTCCAACCTCCTCTCACTTCATCTCTCCTCGGTCCAAATATGCTCCTCAGCAACTTGTTCTCAAACATCCTCCGTCTATGTTTCACACCAATACAGAACCACAGGCAAAATTGTAGTTTTGTATATTCTAATTTTTATGTTTTTAGACAGCAGAAGAGAAGACGGATGATTCTGGACTGAATGGTAACAAGCATTACCCGAGTTCAATCTCCTCTTAATTTTCCCCGGGATCAGGTTTTAATTTGTTATAGTCGTTCCCAAATATGTGAACTGTGCCACATTTTCAAAACCTTTGTTACCTATCGTAATGTCCTGATTTTTCCCTGCATTTTGGTGACAAACGGGTGTTTACCAATATAATGAGAAAGTAGTAGCCAACAGCCGACAAGGCGTAGTTCAGCTTCTGAGTTGCGCAACCAACAGCCCTTCTCTTTAAGATCCAGCATGTTATAAAATGTTATACAGTCTCTCAGACATATGGGATCGTGTTTATTTGTTATTTATTTATAGGGTACGCAGTAGCATAGTTGGTTAAGGCACTATGCTACAATCCGGAAGGTCGAGGGTTCGATTCCTGTTGAGGTCATCGGTTCTTTCAATTGACCTAATTCTTCCAGCCCCACTATGATTCTGGCATTAACTCAGTCTCTAACAAAAATGAGTACCAGGAATTTTCCTGGGGCTAAAGGGCGGCCGGCGCGTACGTCTGACAACCTCACCGCCATTTCTGAGCCGATTGTCTAGAAAATGTGGGAACCTTGACGTCTACAACTTCATGAGTCTCCATGGCCTGCTTCAGGATAGCTTTACCCTGCTTTTATTACCTATCGACCCTGTCAGTATCCCAGACTGTAAGGTATTAAGCCGAATGATGCTACAATAGCAAATACCGAATCAGAAAACGAAATGTGGAAAGAAGCACATGTAGACTAATTTTAGGTACTATCCCGGGTTTTTCTGGAGGGAGCGAAAAAGAACATGAGAAATTTCAGTCAGAACAGTCGGTACCTAAGTTCAAGCTGGGAATTTATGGATCTTGTGAATACAACAGTGAGACTTAGCGGTGTTAAGAAGGCAGAAAGTTCCTTCACCAGACAAGCGAATGTGTTTATATACGCGTTTCCTTCCCAGAATTATTTAAGAGCGTATAAAGTTAAATATGTATAGAAACTTAGATTCTCCATAATGAACCAGCCCCATGGAATTTTTTTAGTTACCTGCTCTACATCCAGATTTTTTATTACATTTGCTGAGCATCGACCTTTTATTTTTATATTACACTCTGCTTACGAGCCGTAACGCCGATTTTGGCGTTTTGGAAGTCCTCTAACAATTCTCAAAATGTTGTTCACCGGTTGGAGCACACAACGCTGTGAATTATTGCACATCAACAACACTTGTAACAAGTTGCCTGTGGTTGACAATGGATTCTGATCGTTGTTTGGAAACCTTTCAACATGTTTCAACTTAGTGGAAGGGGATGCGTCAACACTACGCACATCGCTCATCTGCCATCAACAGTGATCAATACTGAACGGCATTGCCCCGCTCTCAGGCAACAGATGCTGAAATGAAATTTGTCGGACGATGCTGAAAGGAAAGTTGTCTCATTTAAACACACCTTTAGAAAGATACACTGAGTGGGATCAATCTGAATGAACCGATATAACGAACCCATTTTGAACAATTTTCCGGCTTGCCGATTTGCAGCCAAGTTGCTATAAATCTTTACGGGGTCCTCTATATAATATTTGGTACTAGAATGAGTTTTCAAGACACTACAAATGTGGGTTTCGTACAACTTACAGAATCATTTCAGGAATAAAAGACAACAGAAACTGAGAAGTTCCTCTGTGTACAAATTTCAATTCGAGAGATGAAGGTAAAAGGTAAAGTTGACCCTGTGCTTAACTAATTAAGCACTACGTCATGAAGGCACATGGGGCACTAGTTAGAGGTGAGTGGTCAGCTTCACGCCCCTGCCTCTTCACCTCCAAGGAAAGAGCTCCCGGTACCCATTGGATAGGAGGCTGGGTGGGCTCCAGAGCAGGTCTGGACGACGTGGAGAAAAGAACATTCTCAAAACTACTGGGACAAAGAATTCTGACCCCTCGGTCGTTCAGCCCGTAGCCAGTCGCTATACCGACTGCACTATCCGATTTCGAATGTTGGTTAAAGAAATCGTAAATTTAAACACATTTCACGGCAATTATTTCTCACTGGGCGTAATGTATATTCGCTTCCTGAAGATTTTAAATTGTGGTATCTCTAACATTGTTATGTCATGCATGTACACTTTTTTCGAGAATGTATTAAATGAAAGAGAATTAATATCACCGCACAGTGTTATGAATTCTTCGTTTTAATTGCAGAAATTTAATTGCTTTTATCCGCGAACCGTACGCTCCAATCCACCCCATGTTCATATATTCACTTCATACACTAGCATCGATGTTCCGATAAATATAGACCTGCAATTTTGAAGTTAGTGTTACCAGTACAGTAATAACTGTTTCAGGTTCATTGTGATCGTGTTTCCGATGAAATCGCGGTCGCTGTGCACGATCAGTAACTGCAGAAGGGCAATCCTGCTCGTTTGGTTGTTGTCTCTACTTCTAACCACGCCCACCATTCTCACGAAGGTAAGTCCAGCCCAATGTCTATGGCATGCTCAGAACACGGACAAGGCATTGAATGCGACAAGTGCAGTAAGCCGACAGTCATAACAAAGCATGTCGAAATCCTTAATGCAATGTACGTATCACATTTACCGGCAGCCACTGTCAAAGAAGAGCCGGTCACGGTAGCCGAGCGGTCTAAGGCACGCACTGTCTTCGCTCGCTTGGAAGCCGGGATCGTGGGCCGATGCCGATGTAGGTTACGTGTAGTTACGCTTATCCGTAGATACACGGACACGCTACTTCCCTCTTTCTTTCTTTCTTTATCTAAACAGCTTAGTTACCTCGATTTCTACGTTTATTAGAAACTGATATACAAGGTGTATACTCGTATGTTATATGTTACAACATTATATATTATGAAATATGTTTATTGTATATACTCTTTCAGTTTTAACTATCCATTTAATGAATGAACATGTCACAAATACAATGGATTTAAGAACTGCTGGACTTACATGGTTTTTAGCTGACATGGAGACCTTAGAACGAACTAACCGTGCTAATTTTTTTTTCCTGTGGCGCTACAGCCCCAATTTGGGCCTAGGCCTTCCTCCATGAAACTTTCCGTTTCACTTCGGTTTACTAGATCTTACACATACGGTAGGACTCCTTGGGCGAGTGACCAGCTCGTCGCAAGGCCTCTACCTGTAGACAAACACAGAAAAACGCACACAAACGTCCATGCCCTGAGTGGGATTCGAACCCACGATCTCGGTTTCCGAGCGAGCGAAGACAGTGCATGCCTTAGACCGCTCGGCTACCGTGACCGGCAGTGTATAAGAATAATATATAAGAATTCAGTTCGTACCTCACAGGAAACAAATCCGAACCCACGATCCCGGCTTCCGAGCGAGCGAAGACAGTGCATGCCTTAGACCGCTCGGCTACCGTGACCGGCAGTGTATAAGAATAATATATAAGAATTCAGTTCGTACCTCACAGGAAACAAATCCGAACCCACGATCCCGGCTTCCGAGCGAGCGAAGACAGTGCATGCCTTAGACCGCTCGGCTACCGTGACCGGCAGTGTATAAGAATAATATATAAGAATTCAGTTCGTACCTCACAGGAAACAGATCCGAACCCACGATCACGGCTTCCGAGTGAGCTAAGACAGTGCATGCCTTAGACAGCTCGGCTACCGTGACCGGCAACCGTGCTAATTACTTTATAGAAATTCGAATGAATTCATGTAAAACATAGTATATTGTTAAACAGAATTACTTGAATTTTGGACTTTTTCCATCGTCCGGAATTTTAGCTAACAGAGGACACGACGTTTCCGAAACTGGATCTATTTCCGTCTTCAGGTGAGAAAGGAAGACACCTACTCTCAATCACTGGCCCTAAAATTCCGGACGATGGAAGAAGTCCAAAACCCCAGTAATTCTGTGTCATCCACCACCGTCAGACCCCTTTAGAATCTACTCATATATTGTTAAAGTTCGCCGTCGCCACAACAAAATGATTTTATGATCAATCAGTAGTGTTCAGATTGGATTCTATTTGCTGCTACATATTTCAGTTCTCATGGGACCATCATCAGGCAGTAATATGATATTTGTTCCCGATCTAGAATAACAAACCCCTGGACGCAATGATTTCCCATATTGTGGACATTTAACAACATGAATCCACAAGAACTATAACTTAACGTCGTAACTTTACATTATATTGGGCATTTTAACTTTGGAAATATGATAATATATAATTTTTAATATATCTTTTAATACTTCTAACACTCTTTAATATAAAAACCGTCAATATTCAACATATTTTCTAATATATCTCATAGATATATCTATTACTTTAAGTTTAATACTTATGGTGTAACCTGAGGCAAAATTTATATATTTCAGAGCACGGCGCGTTGCACAAAATATGGATCCACGTTAAGAATTCATTGAACACATACGTGTCATATAACACTGCCTGATGATAGTCCAATGAGGAGTGGAACATATAGCATAAAATAAAATCCAATCTGAAAAACACTAATTGATCATCAAATCATTTTGTTGTAGCGAAGGCTAACCTAAATCATTGAAGTCTGTGACACGCAACAGGGTTCACATTGTGAAGATGCATGTAAAACTGATAAAAGATATTTCTGTGTGAAATTAACTATATATACTCGTATAACTGAAACTCAATAATTTTTATGTTTTAATTTCCATGGTAACTATACTTTATTTAGGAGGTCCTCTTAAATTTCTCCCACATAGGTTTGCCTTTAGTGATTGCGGCATGCGTGGCATATGCATAGCTTAAAAGCTCAGATGTAATTACCTCAAAAACAATAACAATAGTAATAATAATTATGACTATTATAACGTTCTCATGTGCTACGATTTATTTAAATTGGTCACCATAACACAAAATAATTCATACTCCTATTAAAAGACAGATAAAAATTTAATTAAAAGTGATAAGTAGGTACAAAAGTCTTTTTATGTATATCACATAAAATTTTGTTTAATAAATGTCAGAATATAATGAATGTGTTATCCTTGTAACGGAAGAAAAAGCTATTTGTACTGAAACTTTCCAAATATACCTTTCCTTTATACTCCACTTTATGATAAACTCTTCCAGACAAACTTAGAATTCTTTACGATGCAAGTGAATGTTGTAAATGAAATGTTCAGTTCGTGACCGGCTAGGGAATTGTTGCATGTTGCTCTAAAATTTGCATATTTTACATGTGCATAAACACAACGGAGTCGAACTCTTTTCAGGAAATGTCAAGGTAAATGTTTACTCAAAAAGCAACACATTTGATTCCAAGAGTTAAAGTGGTACACATCTCAAAGAAATGGTTCTTTTTATGTTAGGTTTTATTTATCTTTAAAATTTTTTCTCATCTCAGTTCCTACATCAGTAAACGAAACGTGCATGACATCTGGCTTTCACATAAGGAGTTAAATCACTTTCCACGGCAGATTTCATAGCATCAAATTGACAGATATTGTTTCAGTCTCGCTCATAAAACAAGCGACTTTCGAACCGTGGGTCGCAATAGAGAATGACTCTATCAGACGGGACGATGCAGTAAAAAAGCGACTCCCGATCTCCATCATCAGGGATTGGTTTTTCGAAGAAACTGATCATCCCAGAAGATTTCATTGCAAGCTGATCGTGGTTTAATGCGTCCAAATACTGTAGGGTGCACGAAAATTTTTCGTATCTAAATTACATGTACAAAGGGGTCTGAGGGGGATATGTAGGAATAAAAATTGGCCTTCTGAGAAAACAGAATAGAATTAGAACCTCATAATATCAAGAGGATTAAAATGACTAAAGACTCTTCCGATGACTGTGAAGAATCTTCAGGTTTGTAACTGCAGGGAATTGTTTGTAAAGATCTACGCAAGGCGTCTATTTGTCTATATTCGTCTAAATTGCAACACTTGTTTTACACTTCAATAAGCGGCCTCCGTAGTCTAGAGGTAACGTTCCCACCTCACGACTCGTAGTACGCGGGTTCAAACCCGGCGGAGGTCGTGGAATTTGTAAAGGCGGAAAAATTCAGGGAACAAGTCGTCCGGGAGGGACTTTAAGCCGTGGGTCCCGTGTCGTAGCTTTACGGCAAGTAAAAGAACCTCATATCGCCTAAGGAGATCACTGAGCCAAATTCAAGGACATTTCCCGCCCAACAGTAGTCTCTAATGCCTCTGATAGATGGGGGAAGCATTATAGATACCACCAAGCCAGTAGAGGTCGAACTCGCTGGCTTGGTCGGGACTGATGGTAAGCACCAGTATCGGTAGGGTATAGAGACTGGTAGAATATCATAGAGGGAAGCACAATAGATCAAACGGGTCGCGGTGCATGGGGAAACCCACCCACTCCAATAACTAACTAACTAACTACACTTCAGTATATGCTTTAACAATTAACACTACATGTTTCGGCTTCAAAGGGCCATCTTCAGGTGTTTTACTACAGATATTCAATCAAGACCTTGTTAAAACTGCTACACTGTTTCGCTGTTCCAATTCATTTTAAAAACCACACGCTGCAGTCCTCCTTCAATTAAAACGAGATAAGATTCTTTTATAATTTGTTGTTTCACTTCACTCAGGGTGTCGTCACTTCCGTAAAATATATCAAAATGTTTTCCCCGGCAGCTGGTTCCTCACGTTAGTTATTTGCACCTGGTTTTCGTTTCCTCCTCAACGTGTGGGGTTGTCTTTACTAGTACTGATGCGGTGTAATTGTTCCTGTATTTATATGTTCTGGTTGTGCCAGTGTAGCAGTTTTAACGAGGTCTTGATTGAATATCTGTAATAAAACACCTGAAGATGGCCCTTTGAGGCCGAAACATGTAGTGTTAAGTGTTAAAAAATATATTGAAGTGTAAAACAAGTGTTCCAATTTAGACGGATATAGCCAAATGGACGCTAATGTGAACAATTGCAACGGGATGCTGAAATACAGAATCTACGCAAGGAATATACAAATTCAACAACGATCCAACAATACCGATAAAGAAGAACGCCGAGTTTTGGGTATGAAAGCACAGAAACTGTTGCAAGCATCATGCTTCTAGGTTAGAGTGAGCCATAGAATGAGCGTGATTCAAAAAGTAATAACGTCAATTTTTCATGTGCTATATATCATGTTCCGAGAGGAAAGGTCAATATTCTGGAAGGCCATACTAACTTTCATTCTAAGCATAAATTGTACATATACGTGTGTCGTATTCGATCGGTTTCCGAGATAGGGCTGTTCCACTGTACAGTAGTTTGGGAGTACGAGTACATCTAGATGATCTATATGCACTCAGACGAGCAACAAGACATCTCACACGAGTTGCAAACTGCACTGATGTTGCCGGTAGAATTTTCAAAAATGACTTCTGAAGACACAGCAGGCTGAACACAGGCTTATCGCGTGTTGTGGTGTAGACATTAGCGATAGTGCTGCAATTACTTGTAGTTCCGAGTGGTGTATATAGGTGGTTAATAAATCCATTCAACAACCAATTTAATTAGTGGGGGGTGGAGTCCAGCTGGGTCCACTTGGCACGGTGGCCACTGATTGGCCTATTGTACCTGCCCCGAGTGATTATGACAATGGAGAATTTGGTGAAATGAAAACCCGCCCCAGCGTCACTTTGTCCACCACAAATCCCACTTGACCAGACCTGGGATCGAACCTGGGCCGCCACGGTGGGAAGCCAGCGACTAACTGCTTGAGCTATGGTGCGGCCTAAATTCAACAACCCATACCCTGTCTATAGTCACATCCCTAAATCGTGATAACATATATATATTGTCACGTGTATGTGTGTGAATACACGAGGTTTTGGATTGGAGATTGTATTTATTGACTACTTTTAACACACGGCTAGTGACTACACTTAACTATTGCATCATCGCTAATCTCCACACTTTACGAACCACTACAGCACACGTTAAATCTTTTCAGTCTGCTGTCTTCACCAGTCGTTCCCTGGTAACGGTTTTGACAGTAGAGATTCTTCAGCTTCGGCGCCCACTTTTTGCCCGCTGGCTCTCAACTGCACTAAGTCTTCTCTTTATAGACACCCTTACAACTCTCTCAACTCTTCGAGTCTGAGTCTTATGTTATGACCGCCGGTCAGTCGGCTAGTCTGTCTTGGAATAATGCATTCATCTGGGGCTTAAGACCAGACTTTTATTACTGTCAGACAGTTGCGTGTTTGTTGATGTGGGGCGCTCTCTCTGACGAGAGGACGAGTCTGTCGTTTATAATTGCTGCTGGTCCTAGCCAGCGCAGTCACTCTCGGGTCCGAGACCCGTAGGACTCGCGACCACATTTTACTGTCTCAGATTCGAGACTTCTCTTTTCGTCGTCTCCTACAACTCGCAGGGCTATGGTGGAGGTATTCGACCCCGCCCTCACACGGAATTCTGAACTCTTGCTTGAACAGTCCTCCTTATAAGATGTCGCCACGGACCGCGTAGAAAACACAGTTGATTGTTGTACTCCCAATTATTTTCATGTGAACACATTTGTTTATGAAGGAGTTACTCAGTAACGGCTGCGTATACTTGCTTATCAAGAATCTGTTGCCTAGCAGCGGATGTTGTTTCTTGTTTGTTTCAAGGTCGCTACCCAGTAACGGATCTACACACACACACACACACATACATACATAATATCAAGAAATATTTTATATATATATTAATTGTTTCTTTTGTTTCAGCAAACATATTTTATCACATTCTGTCAAAGCTAAACCTTAGCACAAAATAAAATATCACTGAAATATACACAGTCTTAGAAGCAAATAATAACTGGGATTACAGTCAGTCGCCTGGATGTTATATCTGTTTACAATTCATACAGCCTACTTTCCTATTTCATCGATTTCTAGTCTTACAATTCTAGTGTCATTAATACCATATTTAGACAATGTGAGCAATGAAATTCAGTATAACTCACGGGCTAGTGTATTGTTTCGCTATTATCGCTTACACAAGAACTTACTCCCTAAGTACATATTTTGTCTGCGTAAATTTGTAAGACATAACCTCAAAAGTTCTCACTGCCGCCGTATTTGTAATTACATGAGATTTACAGCTCTCGCGGCAGTGACAGTGAATGACACCATCTGGTAGAATATCGAGATTACTGTAATATGCGACACCATTAAATTAAAATCAGTAAGCTATGAAGCCAAACTGGTTGTCGATACCCCAATTCTAATCTTTCCACTGGTCTCAATTACAGAATGTAATCAAAATTCGACAACGGACTTGAGAACTAAAACGTGACACAATGACAGTACTTGCTTCAAAATCTTGAAGTTTGATGTGAACACTAAAAGTGAGAGGGATTCATTGCGTTTAAAGATTGCACGATATTCCGATAAGACAGAAGTTCTTTAAACATTTTGCACGTATAAATGAATAAACAAAATACTCTGAAATTTCTACTTACAGGATGGTCCGGTATATAACATTCAAGTGACCGTATTCGTCGTTCTGTTGTGTCTGCAGGAGACGTTCACCATAGTTTACAGCAACAATGTGACCAACGTGACTCTGCACTATTGCAACGAGACCGAGCAGAGCGGCAAGTTCGCCATCTACCAGTTCGTGGTGCTGTTCGCTGCTCCTGGCATGCTCATGATAATCTGCTACACTTACGTGATCCGGGAACTATGGCGTAGCACCAGGAACATGCAGGCGCTTACGAACAGCGTTAGGTAAAGTAGTTTCAGACAGTTGGTGCGTAATTTGTGCGTTAAGGTGCAGTCTGATCCCGTTTGATTACTTTTTGTGCTAAAGCACAATGTGAAAACCATGGAGTGATGCAGAGACGCAACACAATCTGAAAGCCATGGGGTCACTTCAATATTAAAGCACATTCTGAGACCTACTGCGGTAATGTCTTGTGAAATATGAGGAGCATGGTATGAAGCTGTTTGTGTTACCTCATAGATCCCATACTAGATTGTATCACTGGGGTATCACGTGAGGCTGCAATGCAAATGATTCCCTCATGGAACTTACGTTGTGCTCTAACATTTGCCCATGTGCCTCACATTTTGCTGGAGCATAACACGTTTGCAAAAATTGTGAAATATCTCATGGATGTCTATTTGTCCGGCTGTGACCGCATGAAATACGTCTGCTTCCACTTCATGGATTTTCTTGACAGTTTGCTTCGGAAAGTTTCACTTGAATTTGTCGATGTATTTCAGTTTAGGTTAAAATCGGACAAAGCTAACAGAAACTTTGAACGAAGACTCATATTAACTTTTGATCTTCTGTGGCTTCCAATGCACAATTTGAACAAGAATATTAAAGACGCACCTCGAAATATCTAGGGATGCTCGAAATTCGGGAACGAACTGGTGCAAAATTGTTAGTTTGTAAAAGCTCTTCGAAAATAACTCCCTAAACCGTTGTTTCCGTTTACGCACTGCCGATTTAACTGCCAAATCTTATCGATAAAACCAAAAGCAGACTCTTATCAAACCATTGCCAACATGATTCTAGCGAACCTTCCGGAGTCCGCCAGTGCGTCTAGCATTAGCAGTGTGGGATGTCGGTTCCGGTATTTGGAGAGACAACCAAATAAATTCCTGACAAATACCGACGAAGCTCCGGTCGCATCGGGCTGGTTTGCGTGAGCGACGACGATCCTCAGTGTTCGGCAGCCGGGTGACTGCGAGCCGGCCGTAGAGCGGGGCCGCGCTTTCGACGCCAATACTGATGGTCACTGGAACGATCTTGCTCTTAGAAAATTTTGAAGTTTGTCTCACATACATTACAGACCGAACCAAGGCATGTAAGGTCATTTACGCTGTCCATGAACTTTTAAATTTGTTGTTTCTAACAATGGACACTGTGTCTTCAGCCCGGTCAAATGAATTTTTTTTGCCATTATAAAAATCAGTGCATCATTGCATCGATGTGGAATGTTGGAAATCATCCATTTCCTCAGTCTGCGTGAGTGTCGCATCCGTCAACGCTGAAACGCTTCCCGGGGAACATTTTGAAGACCGTGTTCTAATCAAGAACGAATTTTACTCTTGAAACAGACTTTGACCAACAGATGGAAATTCTTATAAACAATATTATTTTTGTCGAGTATTTCTTTCTCACTTTCCTTTCTTGAAATTTTGCCTTATGTGCATCATTTACAGTCAAATGCTTCATATTCTTAGAGCCGGCGATACGGCTCACTTTTGAAGTTTAAATAATACAAATATAGAAAACAAATAAAAAAACATTTCGCTATAAAATAACTTCTAGATTTTATACTGCGATACGTTAGCGCTGCAACAAGCTAGACTACCACTGATGCGGTAAAGGACAGCGCGCAGATAGCGTGAGATTGCATCGTATTGGTGACGTGAGGTTGAAGGCAAAACTTTCTTCAAGGCAAAGAACGACACCCATGTAATAATCTTAAAAATTGCCCGGTATATCACGACCCTCGATTATGGTTTTCGCTCCTCCTTCAGAGCTCTATTATAAGAAGAGAATTTAAATAAAACAGCATGAACTATATTCATAAGTAACTCAGTCGATTTTAATGACAAGTCGGATAGTGAAATGAATCACAAGTTTTACTTCAGTTAACTCACTACAGACTGCACAAAACAAAATGACACCTAGTTCAACTGAGTGTTCTCGACAAATAAATGGGCCCAGTTTAAATGCATCGATTTATATGGCCTTATGTACTGTTCTCAAATTACACTGGATGACAAAAAGCAGCTCTTCGTCAAGAGTGCAAAAATACGTAGGTCTTTTTGACCCTGAGTCCTGAAATAATATCAAAATTGGTCTGGTTATGCCTCGATGGATTATTCAACAAGTGAGTCGTAATTTTCTGCCTTGCTTCAAATTTCTGAGGCAATTTGTTGTCGCTTCTTCAAATGTCCTCCAAACTGCGCATTCAATTTAATTTAAAACTGATTGATCTGTCTCAGGATAGAGACCAGTGGAGGGTTCTTGTGAACATGGTAATAAAACTTTCCGATTCCATAAAATTTTGGGAAATTCTTGACTGGCTGCATAATTGACAGGTTCTCATGAGGTGCTTAGCTCCGCGGAGTTAGTTTCATACGAGTATGTTCTTTGCAGTGAAATTTTGTAAGATTTAGAAGTTAAGACACACAAACATGTCTGTATGACAGGATTGTGGCACACAATAAGCACACTTACACAAAGAAGACAAAATCATTTCAGCTACAAGTTAGTAACAATTAAGAAAGACCACAAATAAAAGAAATAGGGTTCACTAAGTGAGGTCATTAACATAAATTTAAAGTCAACATGTAAGTTTTGTGACAACAGAGAACAAATATGAACATGTGCCACACATGAATAGACAGTGGTGGCGCAAAGACCTTTACAAAGCAGAGGAGCAACCAGCAGCAAACCCCCTTCCTGTTCCAGTCTACATATTAAATCTAATCCACACATTATTAAAAAAGCTGTGGATGCTTGAACAACTGTTTGAATGTTTTAATCAGCATAAGAAAATACATATAGATCATCTAAAAACATGTAGCACATAAACTGTTATTTCTAAACACTCCTCTTGAAGAAAATGAATTCCAATATATAAACTCACAATTTTAGTTCCACCTTGAAATCCAAGTGCTTATGCAGTACCATTCCAAATTCACGATGCCAGAGAATGCAGCAGCACACATACTAACACTTACATGTTTCTTTTAGCATGAAGAACTCCACACTACATAATGGTTCTGCTGATGTTAGTTCAAAAGAGTTTCGTGTCAGCAACGGCACCACAACATTCAGGTCTACCCACATGAATAGAGCCACGAAGAGGCAGAATAAAGGAGATGATGCAAGAAAAGCACGGAAACAGGTTTGTCAATACATTTACCCTTTTTACTTCCACCCCCGCCCCCCCCCCCTCCAAAAAAATGGTCCTTTTCATGTTGATGCCAGCTCAGTCACCTTGTCTTTTAACATTTTCTCATGAAAGTTATGTGAATATGGCACCTACTGAAACACTCTTCATAACATGGTAAAACATTTATGATATATATGAAAATTTCCAGCTGTCTATGTATGCGTTGTTCAGCACCATGTCACATTACTCCTCACAGTGAACCTAATTTCTGGATTTTACCATGGGCTATGCCCTCTCTTTCCAATAAGGCACACTCCCAGGAAATATCAATGTTTAAATTATAGTAGCCATATTAAAATTATCCCAACCTTACGAATACTGCAGACATGCAAGGTTATTATCAAATTACATTTTCAAAAATGGTAAAAAAAAATCAGTGATTTGAAGATATGTTTTACACATGAATTTCTTCTAATATTTCCACAATAAATTCCCCAAAAGTGTAAAAGGTATCCAACTTTGAAGAATTCAGCACAACCTTGGCTAAGATCCTTGACCCACAGAGAAACAAAATTGGTGCAAATATATATCTTAAAGCTTCACACTTTCAATGTTTATAGGCCAAGGCCATGGATTAAGGTTTAAAATTCAGTTACCATGGTGATGTTGCAAGGGTGCAACAAAGGGCACCACAAAGTATAAGTGGAATAATAGTAACATGAGAGTTAAATGAAAACCAGAATTCAGTAAGTCGGTTCTGCCATCTTGCTTGCTTTATGTATGAGATTCTAGAATATCCATATAACAATTGCACATGTGCTTTAAGTACTGGTCTTGTTAAACAGCAGACTTGACACCTTAAAAAACTATGGAAAAAAGATGTCAAATTAGAAATAATATCTATAATTATTACAGCAATCACCACTGCCACCTTCCTTCTAACATTGCAGATTTTTACTCTTTCATTTTCTGCCTCTGCAGTTTCATTAGTATTGAGACCAGTAAGTTTATATTTCTCATTCAGGTTTTCATCAATTTACATTTCTACAATGTGGAGGTACCAGTCCAACAATTAACTCCCAACCTTGTGGGCACTGGGATGACACATCAAAAAGTAAATTACTGCCAGCAGCTTACATAACTCCTATTGTGTGTCACTGTCATCAGTACATATCTGTTGCAGGTGATCAAAATGCTGATCCTTGTGGTAGTTCTATTCCTGGTGTGCTGGGGCCTACGTATTATCATGGAAGTCATTATAAAGTTCAATCTGCATTCATTTACTCCCACAATGTACACACTCCGTGTAACTTTCAACCTTTTACCTTTTATTCACGCTTGCATGAATCCTTTCATCTACTCCTTTATGTCCAAAAATTTCCGTCGCTCCTTGCAACGTCAACTAGAGAAAATGGGGTGCAGGAAAAGAATTCGAAGTGGCAGTAGCAGTAGGAATGGTCATGGATCCTCCTCAAGGGGAAGCAGAATCCAGTGTGGTAGTCCGACAGTAAAAGAGTTAAGACTGAAATCTGGACGAACATCGACTTCTTCCAGCACTACCAACTGTCTCACTGATCTAAGCAAACAGACAGACACGGGACAAGCGTTGATAACGCTACATTCTGCCACCTCTGCTGTGTAAGTGCACATAATCAAACATTTTTCACTTCCATGATATTCTGTACTAAAACAGTCTACAATTTTAAGATTTATATATGTGTATGCTTACATTTTTGATAATTTTAATCACTATTCTGTTGAGCTGCAGAATAATTCTCTCACTGTGAAGGATGAAAAATGAAAGGTATGCAGGAACGACTGAGAGACAAACTAAAGAAAATGACAAGGTGAGAGGCTTTATGGTGTAAACTGTTATATAATCTGCATCATTACGGTGATTAAACACCCAGGTATTGGTTAAATAATGGCAGAACCACAAAACCGCATGGAAAGAGGCTAAGGCACACATGTCTACATAATCATGATAATAATAAAAATGTGTTAAGATGTGAAATGAACTAAAATTATTCAGGTCAGGACTTTTTTTTTGTAGTGACAGTGATAAATCTTCAGATTTCATGAACAGCTAGAAAACTGAGTGTTCATGAAATTGGAGATTTATATATCAACTGATGAGGGAAAGATATATATTGCAGGTATTTCAGCTCCTGAACATGAATGTGCATCAGGCAAGTTCTATTCTGTCATGTCAGTGATACGAAGAAGAACAATCTCTTAGTAATAATCTTTAATTACATAAGCATATGAACATTCACCTCATGTGCATAATTCTATGTCTCATTAGAGCCAGAAGCCAAATGTAAACACTGATCATGTTTTCATACAGTTTTAATGACTTAAGGAAAAACAACACTTCTCTGTATAAATAATAAGTACTGTTTTGAAAACCATGACTTCCAAGTACAAGTCAACTCAAATTTGACACATTATTAGAACAGATTTCTGTAGTACTGCATGCCATAATAAAGGAGACATACGAGAAACTAACCACAGCTCATTATTTGCTACCTTGTGCAAATGCACATTCGATGCAAAAAATTTGCAGAAGGGGAACTGTACAACTAATAAATATATATGTGTTTCAATTCATACAGGACTCAGTACCCAAGAGGGGACTGAACAGTGCTTTCCAGTGAGTACAATAGTACACTAACTGCAAATTCACTCCCTGTGACCTCTGCAAAAATACTAACTTCCAGCACTTTCTGTAATTCCTTTCCCAGTCTGACCTACCACATTTAACACACAAGTAAGAGAGGAAAAGCACTTACATAAGCAAGGACTCACAGAAGTCACTATCACTTTCTCACATTCAATTACAGTATCTATTCACTGAAGATGTTCTCATTATGAATGAAATAAATCTGGTGAAATATGTTCTACAGCTTCTGTAAATCCTGGCCTCACTCAGTGCTCTTATGTTTCTCACCTATCCAATATATAAATATATCTTATTATGTTAGCAGATATTTTCTTTACATAGCAAGTAGCTTCTCTGGGATATGCCAATTCTGAACCAACTATACTCCTATAGTGCATGAACTGTATTTTTATGATGGAAAAACGGAGCACCATGTCAGTACAGCTGCAATTTCTCCAATTTCCAATCACTTCTCTCAACACACCTTCAAGACAACAGCACAATAACCGATTCATTATTGAGGAAACAGATCTGTTTCACTTTGACAAATAAGCCAATGTCTATTGCTACATGTACAATAACTTAAAATAAAGAATTATTTTCAGATTCTTAATATAATACAAGTTATATGATTAGAATTGACCACCAACCCTTGCAGAATGCTCTATCCTACACCAATTTCCTTTATCATGCATCAGGACATAAAAAATACATATCAACACGTAAGTATTTGATCCCATTTAATGTGTCTTTATATTCTTTTATTAAAAATATTTCTATAGCATCCTTCCTAAACAAAGAAAAAATTTAATACACAAATAATTACATTACTCAGCATGCAGTAAATCACATGACGGAAAATCCTGTACCCCACGGATTAAACAAAATCAAATTTCCTCAGCTGTTACATAATTAAACTTGCGCTCATCTATTTTAATCTGTAGATCAACTTATATCTACCACTTTCCTTCTGCAGTAAATGTGGAGCTATTCACTAAGCATCTCTTGTGGAAAACCTGATTCCAAGTAACACCAATTGATGGGAGGATGGGTAAAAGAATCATTTAAGTAAAAGGTGCTATGTGAACACGATCTATTCACAGAAATTTCACTTATAACACAACTGGCAGACAATGTACTGAATTCTAAAGATGAATGAGAAAAGTATGGATAATAATAATTTAAGACCCTGTGGTACCGTAAAAAAGCTTAAGGCAGCAATTTTAGAAAAATACATTTTGTAGCAGCACTCCAAAAATATCTATGAATGATAATTCAAATTTAAAAATTGTGTAAATATGACAAAGAAGAAGAGATAATTATATAAAACAATTATTTTAGAAGCTTACCGGCCACTCGAAATTATCATTTCACTTAAACCAACATTGCAAGTTTCACTTAATTTAGAAAAATGTTTCAAATGATACTGTGGAACTGGAAACATAGGCTTTGTTTCTAAATTCCCATCCATGACTGAAAAACACATTCTCTGGCTCAGTTCATATAAATTTACAGCTCAAAATCAAATTTAAAAAAGAATTCAAGTTAAATAAAAAAGTTAGGGTTTCAGGCTTTCCACAGTAGTACTCTGGCAGCCATGGTAACATTTCAATGCCAGCAACTACCTCAGTTTAATATCACATTTACCTATTCTGAGTCCCCTTCCCACCCACCTGACAAATTTCAACATAAAAATATGTCAACACTATTTGAAATACAACACAATACATTGAATGCCACATGAATGTGTCAATGTTGAAATGAGTTTCCACTTTTGTTCAATATATATAATGTCTGAATTACTGTGCACCAAACACTGCCTTTTAAGCAACCAGTATGTAAAGTAACATGGCATTGGGTCCAAAATAACATAATTAACATTAAGGTACAGGCAGAACCTACCATTGCAAAGGTTCTCTGATAATCATGCCTGCCCCTCTGCTACATACACACTCATTACTATAACCTGAAAAGCTCTAGGAGCATCTATAATAATAAGAACCAGGATTTCATTGACAATAGGACCAAATGTAGAAAAATATTACCAAAATGACCTCTCCCATAATTTTGCAGGCACAATGATCACTTCCTAACATAATGTTACATTCTTTTAATAATATTCCATTCCTTAAAAAAGACAAGTTCACTGACTTTCTGTAGCACACTTCACCTTCCACTTTATCTTAATGTCTTTTTATACAGTTATCACCAGCCTATATCAGGAAATAACTGTGAAATATTATACATAATTATTCTCCTATACATATTACAATATGTCCAGCATTTCTCAGTTTCTTAAACTCAGACCTACTATCAAATGTCATACAAGCAAATTGTTTATGCAAGAAACATAACCAGGCAAAATAAGCAGTAAGACAGATTGGATGAAATTACACTTAAAATTGTGTTTTACATAACTGTGAGTATCGGTGCTAGATAAGACTTAGAGAAATATGTATGTTTCAAGAATTTGATGATGATGGCATCTGACTGATGTCTAAAACTATATCCTGGAATTCAGTCTACTTTGTAGTATACATTTCCTTCCTGTAGTTAAAAATCTTAATAATAGTGGCATCAGGCAGAGGCCACAATGACCCTCAGTACATAGAGCATGTTGAATAAATATCTCATTTCCTGCATTTTCATGATCTGTTTCAACACACCCTAATGATGTAGCAATTGCACTGAGAAAGAGTGCTCATCAGCAGAACCTATGCTGAAAAACTTTAGACGAGAGAAGACAATTCTGAAGACTTTTCTCCATCATCAGAAAAATGACAGGGTGGGTTTATACGAGGTACCTGAAGATGCAAGCACTAGGCTTCTCTGAAATGCCATAAATCTCTTAGAAGCCTACAAGGTGTTACAACCCAGAAGAATGTAGTCACATTCAGACTGCTGTTAGGGCAGTTTTCAATCTCAGGTTCAAAACCAGACTCAGCTCCCTCATACAAATGACAAACTGAACCCTCAAAATTAGCAGGCAGCAACACTGGTATAAAGAAATACCATGACATTATCATCTAAAAGAGACTGGAACTATGAACTAGCTCATACAGCTGAACGCTTGAATACTAGCAACAGTCACATGACAGCTGTCCTACAAGTCATTGCTGATGTTATGTGTGGTTAAAAACCAAAATTTGGTACAAGCAGCTCTGAAAAATTAGGGTGGTGGTGAAGTATGCATATGCCTTGGTTACCACACATTAGCACAGTGTCCTGATGTGATTTCTGAATGAGAAGTGTTTTGGTTCCAGCCAACGAGACAAGTGGCAAGAACCCTCCTTGAATTATCAGTCATGGAACTATGTCAAAAGACATAACTCAACTGACCAATCCACAAGCTGAATTCAGATTTTATCAAAAGCTGTTGAAAATTTTGTTTCTCGTGTCAATAACAAGTAGCCTCGCATAATGTTAATGCTCAGTTCCAATCTCAGCCAGGTCACCAGCTATCCTCATCGAGGTTTTTCCTCACTCTCTCCCATAAATGTTGGGGTACTATTTCAATTAGGTTAAGGCTGCTTCCTTCCAAATCCTTTCAATTTGGCAGTGAAAATTATGTAGTGTTTAATGGCAGGATGATATTCTTACCATTCGACACTGTACAGTTTGAACTACTCAAAGTGTCTCAAAATGAATCAATTAAAGCTAGTGTCACTTGAATTCAGCAACATCCCAGGTTTTCAGATGATAGCTCCATGACCCAACAAAATTTAATTCAAACTCAGAAATTTTACTACTGTAAATATAAACTAATATAAATTTTTCTTTCCTGATAGTTTTCAGAACCTGGGTATCATGTTATATGTGCTTTTAAACCATGCTAAATTAAGATCCAGAAAGTAATTAAATTTATCATGATAAGACCAACTGAACTTCCTGAATCAATTACTCAGACCATACTTCATTTGTGAGGGTACACCCAAGTGATAATATATGTATATTTCTTTTTTGAGAAAGAGCAGCAAAATAATAGGCACAATTATCCATGTCTCTGAATTAATAAATCCACCAAAATTTAATTAATCTGTAAGGAAGTTCAATCAATTAACTTGTAATTCATTCCTTCATGTTATTACCTCTGAACAAGCATCCCATTACATACACCTTAACACATAGAGCCCATCCATGCTGATCTGAGTACACATCTTGAATCAAATACCCAACATCCAACCCCTGCAGTTATGACTACCAGGCATACAAGGAGATGTGTTTGACACTGTAACCTTGAGATGAAAAGCCTCATCAAACTCAACACTGAAAAATGAGGTGAATCAGAAGAGTGAGAAACCAGGCATACAGAAAGCTGAAGAATGGAGTACTGTGAAAACCTCAAAGAACATACTGCTTATTCTTCTCGATGTCAGTTTGCAATCGAACGTTACTGTGTACTCTTGCACCAAAAATTGCAACCAGTATACAAATTTGACACTTTGAAAGTGGTCCCAACATTCCACAAAGATTTTATTTCTCCTTCTATGCTGCAACTCCTCCCTTATGACAAACACATTTGGGATCTAAACATTTACACGACAAAACTCTACAAGACGAATGTTGGAATATTATGGAGAAAATTATACCAGCGATTAGCATACTGGTAGTCATCATGAAATGAGCAGAAGCACTTGTTAGATACGAAAAATCTACAAATTTCAATCCACAAAATATTAAGTTCATGCCTTTAACAAGGGGAAGGGAATTCACTGCCGCTTCATGGGGCTCAGTGTTTTCTCACATAAGAACATGTATTTTTTCTTGCACTATTTACAACTGTACATAGAAATAATATGCTTATAAATTTAATTACAGCTTTGAAATGAACATAAAAATTAGGATGGCATGTTATAATGGTCTTCATCATGTAAGAATTAAAAGGTTAACATAAGAGAGAAACCAGAAAGGAACAAGCACAAATATTAGCATGGGCATTGTAGCACAGTAAACTCTATTCTACAGATAGTAGAATATTTCATCAAGTGCAAAACACCAGGACTACTCCAAAATAACCACCAGTAATACAAGACAGAAATACAATGTTGTAGTAAGACAAATGTTCCTAAGTGAGTCACTGCAATTATTAGTTTTACAAATAATTTCTGAAAAAAAGAAAATCAATATACAATTTCATCATCAACACTGCGGATAAGTGCAAAACAGTAACTAAGTCCCAGTACCAGTGGACTAATATTCCCCCTCTAGACAGTAACCCAAATAAATTAAAATTGTTTTTAACCCACTTCATATGTTTGCCACACCAACATTTTAAATACAATAGAACCCTTCATGAAGTGAGAAAGTTTAACTATAAAGCAATATAACATTACAATGCCACAGAATGCTGACCTCTTGATGCATCACTCTGTAGCAGGCACAGCCCATTGAATGAAAGATAAATTTACTGAATCCAAAACAAATGTTGACATCTACTGCTTCATTTATATCTTGCAGAGTTGGATTCTTGGGCTGCAAGCAAAAACAATCAATGTCCATTAAATACAAAACTTAAAGGTTTTATAATGTTACACAATGTTTGACAAACTTACCCATCACAATCAGCAGACTGTATGGGCCAGATTCTCACTCATTCACTGATCACTCATAATCTGAAATCAGATAACACACAAATCAAGAGGATCCATTAACATTTTTCTAACATATATATAAAAAAAACACCTTACTGTAAGAAACTGTATAATTCTCATTGAAACCGCTGAATTAAAAGATATTTCATGCCTTTTGACAATGTAGACTGTTTAAGAGATAGCAATTTCCAAACTCCTGGCTAATGAAGATATGAGAACGGGCAAAACACTGCCATGCGGTTTTCTGTGTGAGAAGAATGACACATTCTTCTCAACGCCCAACAATGGATAGAATGTGGGAATTTAGATTTCCATAGCAGTGAATATGAACAGCACTATCCTCTGGGATGTAACCCCATGTCATCTAGTAGAAGCTGATGTTTCAGAACAACATAACTGCATCCAGCTTCAACACTGAAGAATAAACCAAAAAAGCAAACATAGCATCACGTCCCAGAAGAGAGCACTCTTCAATGGACAGAATCTTTTCAAATAACGGGTAGTAATTCTGAAGTGAACGGTGATTAGAGACATTATCAATGGGATATATTTACTTACACTTCATACATCTGTGACAGAGTTACGGCTACATACAAATATATGCAAATGATTAAGTCAAATAAAAGGAATGGTCTAACACAGGGAATCCAGATTCATATATCAGTAAGCTACTAGGACAGAGATTCCCAAGGCTGAAGTTCCCTAAAGTATATGAGCTCTCCAGAAATACATAATATATCGACAACATTACTCCCAATAAGGTCAAAGGTAAAGTTCCCCCTGTGCTTAATTAACTAGGCTCCATGTCATGAAGATGTATCGGGAGTGGAGGTACAGCTCCAATATTCTTAGCCTCAGCACTAGATGGAGATGAGTGGATTAGCTTCACAACCATGCTGCTTTGCCCCAAGGGAAAGAGACCCTGGTACCGGCTCGAAAGAAGGCAGGATGGGCATCAGAGCTGGGCTGGACACTGTGCATAAGAGAACAATCTCTTGTCCTGCTAGGATTTGAACCCCAATTCCTTGGTCATCCAGCCCTAAGCTCATTACTATACTAAGCTACCTGGCTCCTACTTTCAATAATATGGATATGCAGAAGGCTCTCCCACTAAACTCACATAATCTTCAGCCTTAAATGTTTGTTTGTTTGTGAGTGAGGGTGAGTGTAAGTGTGTGTGTGTGCACTACATGTACATGTGGACAAGGGGGGGCTGTAGGCCTGTCTGCATCCTTGTATGTCTGCCTATATGCAGTGTACTTATGGAGCCGAGCTCTTCTTGAGGAGAAGCCAAATCTGTGGCTCCTCAAGAATTTCCCAGCATTTTATGGAACCTGAAGGTTCATTACCATGTTCACAAGATCCCTCCACTGGTCCCTATCCTGAGCCAGATCAATCCAATCCATACCATCCCATCCTATCTCCCTAAGATGCCTATATGCAGCGTGTCTGTGTGTATCTATATATGTATGTGTCTGTGCGCAGGGCTGATACAAACCTAAATGCCACCCCAAGCAATGAGATATTCTGTCCCATGAGCCTCAGTCCCTATCTTCACAGACAAGGACTAGCTCTACTGACTGGGCCCAACTGAGCAAGTTCCATATGAAGACAAAGACAGAATCCACTCTCCAAAATGTTGTGGATAACGTCCAGTAACACAATTAACTATATTAATATACCATCATCATAAACTTTTAGATCTTACTCAGTTTAAAATATCAATTTCTCAGAAAATGTCACAATCAATAACACAAAATTTCCAGACACTCTGATAAAAATTGACACTGATGCCATAGTTATTAAGCCAGTTTAATTTATATTGTTTCATAATATGTTTAGAGGACTGCCAATTAATATTCATAATATGTACAAAAAGAAATCAATTTGCATTAACAAAAGGGTTGAAAAATGCGTCACTACTTAAAACTGTGCTACTTCAGGCAGCTGCTTGATTCACCTATGCTTTGTGCATGCTATGCCTGTGTGTGTTTGTGAAGGAACACCCCTGTATGAGTCAGTGTTATCTGCATGTGTGAGTCAAGCCCCATGGTAACTAAAAGGGTTACTTGAACTTAGCATAATACCTTAGGTTTTATTGGCTGAACTTATTATTTATAGTAGTATTTTAATTGTTAGCATGAAATTTATTTCTCTCAACTGTTATCTTGTTTCTTTGTGCCATTCCAACACCAGTGGAGGCCACTGGAATCTGTAGTTGTAATTCTTTCTGCTACGGACTCAGCAGCAGTTTCCAGTTCTGCCTGTATAAATGACAATAACATTGTCAATATTTTTTTCTGTACTGCTCTCCATTCTAGCATGAGCGGAACAGTAAAATGTGACAAAGAAGAATGCAGGAAAAATATTACAATGTAAAAACTTTATTCTGCCATTCATTTGAATTTAATTAAACTGGTCACAAACATGCACAAATCAATTTCTGGTTGCTCAATTATACTTTTTCTTAGGTTTATACAGCCATAACTTAATGCATTCCATAAAGAAAGTGCCATTAACTTGAAAAACAATCAAGTTCATTATAACATGGGGTGCATAGGTTTGTTACTGGAGCTCAAGGCTCAAACACTTCAATATTTTAACCCCTATAACTGATTGTATTTTGTTATATTTCATATAGTTATACCTCAGACTTACAACTTAACATATTTCCAAAAATGGTTCAAAAGTTGAAAAACTGTAAGTTGAGTTCATGTAACTGTGAAATTCTTTGGTCCAAAAAATTGGATTTCTTGAACTGCAATGCATGCAAATACAATCTGGAGAGTGGAATCCCAATTGAGTGTTCCAAGATTTCATTTTTACTCTCTTCTAGGGTTCAAATTCATTCTTTCCCAAAGACACCTCTCACTCTGGCATGGTTGTTACATACCTCTTCTTCATCATCTTCTTCATCATCCTCACTATAAAGCTTCTTTGACAACTTCTTCACATTTTTGCGACCAGATAAACTACTGGATTCACTTCTGCGGCCTTTGAGCTTAATTCTGACCTTCATCGAGTCATTGTCAGAATGCATATCTTCATCTACAGCAGGCTGACCTGTGTCATATAAAGAACCAAATATAAATTTACTGTATGTTGCACATTTACTATAAGATAATGATCCAAGATTCAATCTTCTCATATAAGTTCTTAACTTTTTCTGACTGGAAGAGTAGTTAGTTACACACTGCTGAAATAATTTTTCTTGTTCATCATATTATTATTTTGTGTAGACAATGGTATGCTAAGTTTCCTGCAAGCTTTGTCACATGTGGTTAAGTATCCATGTTTTTAATGATGTCTAAGTTTCTCAGAAACTGATGCATTACATTTTGCTTGTTTGTCTCATAGTCATGTATACAGCTATAATGTATAAAAGTCAGTTTACTTTCATGCAACTTCACAAAATTTACATATATTCAGTGTACATATCACACAAAGATGATGCTACCAACTAGATATAAAGTCTGAAAGGAACTGCTAATTCTGCCCAACTTTGCGATTCAATAAGCACTACTGACTGCTCCTTAAAGCTGCAACGTGTTTCATTATGCAGTCTCCCCTTCCTTTCTCATCTGTTTCTATATGCATGTAATCAATCTGATAAAACGTTATTAAATGGGTAAAATATTTGATAGGGATCTTTACAATTGCTCTTCTTCTCTGCCATTTTAAGCAGGACACACATACATTAGTATTAGGGTATTACTTCTGGGACCTGAGGATTTTAACTTTTTTAGATGGAAAACCATTTTAAGTGGGATGTTTCAAAGTATAGCTGACTGCAGAACTGACATTGTATTTTTCAATATTCACTATATATTTCCACCATTTTTATTTCTAGGAATAAATTTTAATGGTCTTCTGAAATGTTTTATAACAGCATTTCTATGTACAAGGGTGAGTCAGTAAATAGGTCACAAATGGAAGTAAAACAGCTGTAAGAGACGTAATAGGTTTTCTGTATCACTAGGTAGCAGCACAGTCCAGCTTCATGACAGTCTAGGCAGCAGCCGTACATGCTCATGTTCAAAGGCTCGTTTCAGCAGTCAAAATGGCAACAGTGCATGAGGAGTAGAACATCGAAGCACAGCGTTCTCTTGTGTGTGTGTGTGTGTGTGTGTTTTTTTTTTTGTGGGCAAAGGGACCCAGTTCAAAGGATATTCATAAAGAAATGTTTCCTGTTTATGGCGGGAAGTGTTTGTTGCATAAAGTGGTTCACGACTGGGACGAGAAACATAGAAAATGTTTTGCTCTGATGTTGAAGAGGTTGAAATGGAGGTCAGGAAGTGGCTGAGATAACAATCAAAACACTTTTGTAGTGGCTTTCGATGCATTGGTAAATCGATGTGACAAGTGTACAAATATTGGTGGAGGTTATATTAATAAATAATGTTTTTTCCAAGTTGGAATATCGTACGTTTTACATCCATGACCTATCTACTGACTCTCCCTCATATTTATTTACGAGCTGTCATCATTGCTACTTACGTATCGTTATTGACCGACGACAGTTTTCTGCCTCTGCACTGACTGCACAATCATCTGAAAGAGGAATGGATACTGCTGTAAGACAAAAAAACTGCACAGTAAAAATTATGAGTTCACACATATTCAGTGCTGTACACTGGAGTTAACAACAATTACTAATGGACATTCAATTCCACCTCTGGTGGAATTCTACTAAATTTTCCATTAGGCTCTACAGCAGCTTTAAAGACACTGAGTCACTTCAGATCTCTAACTGCAGTATTAACCACCAAGACATATCAAGATCATACAACATTTGCCATCTCTCCACAAAGTGGAAAGTTTTTCTATATACAGTATTTATGACTTAGCATAATTTGTACACTCTCACATTCAGATCCAAATTATTTCGTTAGAAAGATATGAATATATAAAAGTAATGACTGAATATACAACCTCCACCACATTTACATATCAACAACTGAGTGTCAAGACTTTTTAAGTAACGCACTCTTAAATATTTATGCCTGCTAAACTACCAAATCATTCTTTTTGCTCATATAACTTGTCGTTTTTCTGAATATTATGCAGTTGTAATTTTCATAACCGCAATCCAACGTTTGAAATTATACTTAAAAGTGTGCATAAATTACATGAGCATATACAGTATTCCATGTACTTTCTATACGAACTGTACATATACCAAATACAATATATAAGCTTTCAAAATTCAGAAAACTGACAAAATATTCATGTGCATGAAATCAAATAGACTAATAAATCAATTCTGAAAGTACATCATTATCTTTGACAATGGATATTAGTGACTCAACACTGTGCAAAGTGTGAAGCACAAATATTCTTTCAAAAATACCACAAACTTACTGTTATGAGGTTATGCACAAATATTTCTTTATGCTGGGGTGTAAACAGATACATTTTTACCATGATAGTAATAAAAAATATAAAAATTCTACATAAAAATTCAACCAATTTTGTATGTAAAAATTAATATGATAAAAAAGAACAGTGTAATACACAATTAACATAGTATTCACAACTGAATAATATTTTTGTGTCCCAACCAGGATTTTCTACCCCTTCCTCTTCGCCTTCTTCCTCCTCATCTTCTTCGGTTGGTTCTGAATCCTGTTCCAGTCGAATTCGGGCATTAGCAAACACTGTTTCCAATACTATTGAGTCTTCATGAATCAGAGATGCTTCTTCATTGTACTTTTGTGCATTGCGACACATCTGAATGAAGTCACGCTCCAAGTCATCAAATGAAGTGTACTAAAAAAAAAGTACAATATATTAAAGCAGCAGCATTTGTTTGCAGTTTATAATGTTGTTAGCCACACTGGAGCTAAGACACTCAGAAGAAACATGTTATCTACTACCTATCACACCAAAACAACTAGACTGAATTTACAGTTTGTAAATAACAGACTGAAGGTTTAGAATGTAACAACGCATCTGAAATGTACTGTAGGAGAAAGATATATTAAATAAGGATGTTACTTTAAAAACGTTAATTTCAATTGCTTGCATGCTTCTTATTCAGAAATCCCCTCTACAGTTTAAACAAAAAGAATGCAAAATCATATTCTGAAAGTTGAAAAATTCAACATAAATTTGTTTAAAAAATTCACATAATCATCTACTTCTGCGCTGTTTCAGGTTAATGGGCTAATGGGTTAATGGACTGAGAAGTCTCCAGTATTTTGTTTCTTCCTACAACCTTTCCTTTTTTGAATTCTTGTCAACTCTTTCCTCTCTTCTAGGCACTTTGCAGTCTCTACCTTCTTCTGGATTACCTCATATGTTTCTTTCCTTTGAATTTTAATAGTAAAGCCCTTCTTGGTACCTCTTTCTATTCATTCTTCTTACCTGACCAAACTATTGTAATCATAAATTAACAAATTTTTAACTCTTCCAGCCTCTTCTCTATAACTTGCATTTCTAATTCTACTCCTTCTTGTTTTTTCCTCAATACATTTCATGTCCATAACTGCATTTTGCTTTTATTTCTCTTTGAAAGAGTTCATTTGTCAGCATTATATGTTAGTATAGGTTTATAATATATTCTGATACTTGTTAGCATTGTTTTGATATTTGATATTTAGAACTATTCTCTATTTGTCTACTGATCTCCCCACCAATATCCCCTTCTCAATTTGTTCCATTTCCCAAATAAATAAATCTGCCCACTGTATGTGGGCAGATTAATGTATGTCTCAACAATTCTCTTCACTGGCAGAACTGAAATTTCATGGATTTATTACTTCACTATGGAGGTCATTTAAATCAACAGACATTAGACTCAGAACATAAACTGATGAAGAAAATGACACTCACACTGAGAAGCAGATTACTGTATGTAACTTTCTTTCTAGATAATTCTTGTGAGCCACCCTCCAAAACTGCAGCTCTCAGAGCTCACTGTGATGGTTATCTTATTATCTCATACAATGTTTTTTTTTTTTTAATTCGCTTAGTGGGAGGTGGAGTCCAACTGGGTCTACTCGGCATGGCAGCCACTGATTGGTCTACTGTAGCCTGCCCTGGGTGATTATGATGATGGAGATTTTGGTGGAATGAAGATCGGCAGGGAAAACTGAAGTACTTGGAGAAAACCCACCTCAGTGCCACTTTATGAACCACAAATCCCACTTGACCAGACCTGGGATCGAACCCGGGCCGCTGTGGTGGGAAGCCAATGACTAACTGCTTGAGCTATGGTGCGGCCATCTCATACAATGTAACTCTTGTCAATTTGTAACCGATTCCATGTTAAGAAATACCTTTAACAAACTATCTGTGTTCACTGAAAAGCAACATTCGGCAATGCTATACTTGGCAGCACTGTATGTAAGTTCTATGTTTCCTTAGTTTGTCCCCCTTCTTTACTTCCTTCCAAGTCATAGTACATGTGACTGATGCAGGCTTCAGCTGCCAAATGAATAGCATTATAGGTTCTATGAAATCTCCATAACCACTATCTTGTACACATTTCTCTACAAGGTTTCATTTATTTTGCTTGTCTTCAATTTCCATTTTCCACAAATCAAAATATCATATGGAAATATCAGCAGTTTCACGCCTGGCATTTATTTCTCCTATAGCAGTTTCAATATTCATGAGATTAAACAAGGCTGGTGAGAGGATATTTACTTGTCTTACTCCATTATTCATTTTGAACCAACCATTTTTTTAACACAATCTGTACCATCACTGTACATTAACTTCACATTTCTGTAAGATACTGTGCTGTTTTCATCCCCTTAAGCTTCACCAAATCTTTTTCTTCTTTAAGCTGTGACACAACAGTTTTTAAAATCTATATATATATATACATTAAAATAGTTATGCAGATCGAACCTCACTAAATCAGGCCCATTCAATTTGCAGCTCACGAACAACATAATACTACGAAGTACCTTGATGTTGCCTATAATAAACATATTCATATACATTAATTGTTACCATTCTGAAAATTAATTTAATTAATTGTTAAGTAACTGAGCTGCACTTTTTAACACAGAATTTTAAGGACGTTCATGCTTTTATAAGGTAAATAAGAAGGTTAAACAGTTCTGAACTAAATAAGGCTTACGACGGAACTGGTATGAGTGTCCCAGTGCTTCTCATACTACATTAATTTCAAACATTACCTTATTTTCTTCCAGCCTCTGTTGTATTTTTTTTATATCAATTGGCCTCTTTATTATGTTGTAATAGTCTGGGAGCTCCTGCTTGGAAGGTAGCTTCATAAACGGTCCACTCAATGTTCGACCATCACTGAAACAAGCAGTGTTTGTCTAAAACATCTCTGGATAGGCAGTCTTATGTTGAGACAAATACTGTGTGTTCAAACAGTTTTCCAATATGGTGAATCTCTTTCACATCACATACTGGAAACAGAATCTAGTAACTTTCTAATGACGCTGCAATGATCTATATCACCATTTGATGACACATCCTCAAAGATGTTTTAGATGAGTCTATAGTACCAGTATGACACTGTACAGGATACCTGTAAGGCCAGCAGCAACATATGTTTCTGAGACTTGGACACTTACGATGGCAGAAGAGACAGCACTATGCCTGTTTGAGAGAATGATTTTGTAGAGTATCTTTGAGGCTGTGCAGGATAAAGGGCAGCAGAGAAAAATATGGAACTTTGAAGTACATAAATGATATGACAGTCCAGATCTTGCTAAATATATTAACATTAACACACTAAAGTGGGCAGGACATATTACATGAACAGATAATGACCAAGTGAACTACGACAATGCTTGACACCAGACCAGAAGTAAAAAAGGAATAGAAGACCTAAACTAACACGGGAAAAGGCCACACCATAGCTCAAGTGGTTAGTCACTGGCTTCCCACCGCGGCAGCCCAGGTTCAAATCTGGGTCTGGTCAAGTGGGATTTGTATGTCCAAAGTGGCGCTGGGGTAGGTTTTCTCCGAGTACTTCGGTTTCCCATGCCAATCTTCATTCCACCAAATTCATCATAATCACCTGGGGCAGGTACAATAGGCCAATCAGTGGCCACCATGCCGAGTGGACCCAAATGGACTCCACCCCCCACTATGTGAATTACGAAAAAAGAAGACATGGGAAGATTGTTTGGACCTGTACATTAGACTCCTAGGAGAGAGGAAATTGAAGAGCCTGGCATTAAATAAGGAAGANGAGGGAGAGAGAGAAAAAAAAAACACACAGGAACTCACCAATCAGCATACTTAATCACAATGTTCATGAGCTTCCGCATTTGTTTTTTTATTTTGCCATTTACTAAAGTTCCTTTCTCAAGGGGAGGGCGCCCCCGTCGCTTCTTGACATGGGGCTGCTCTACCACCATTACAACAGGTGGAACTGTCACAGCTGAACTGTTCCCACTTCCAGCATCATCCTCATCTTTCCGTCTCCGTTTCCGGAACTTCTTTCTGGCAGGTTTTCTTTCTTCTTCCTCCTCCTCCTCAATTCCATCATCAATGGCCTGAAACATGTAGTGTAATAATTACCCTGTATAAAATCTAATACTGTGTGTTCCAAAATTATCTTTCCTATTTTAGTCTGTTATTAAATGGTACTATGAACATTAACCTGTGAGGTATGTACAAAAGGTTCACACAGTTTAGAAAGTTACACAAAAATGCAATGTTTACAGTTCTGTAGTCAAATTCAAAGAGAGTCTTTCACATACCCAAGCAGCAATACTCACATATGCACAGCATTCATTTTCATTATACTCAAATATGTCAAGTCTTTTTATGCAAGATTTTATGACATGTTATTGTAAAAAGAAATCAAGCAAATTTCATACACAGAATGTTGTCACCATGGAACTGGGTTATCAAGTCATGTGTATTTGGTTATTTCATAATGCTATACCTAGTCAGAGATTATGCAATAAATGAGATTGATAGGGTGTTACAACTGAGGACTTAGGAAGTTTCATGGCCTATTTTATGGTCCTTTCTTTGCATTTATCAGGAGGACCTGAAGAAAACCACAAGAAATCCATCAAAATGCCCATAACCAGGTGACAAATTAATAAGAAACAGGTACATCAATACTGTGTTAACCTGCTCAATGCTTCAATTACTGCAGTAATAACTTTATCTTTTACAATTTGAGTTAAATGACAGACCCATCTAAAAAGAACTGTAGATACAGAGACCAGGAGCAAACAGGCTAACCTGAATACAGATTAAGGTGCCAAGAGCCAATAATCCAGTTATATTTCCAAATCTCCTAATATGGGAACAGAAACTCTTTGAAATGTGTTACAAGATAATGCAAACTGAATTTTCCATGTTTATTACCATACTTACTCACATAATTTACACATCTTTCTACCCAAGAGCTGTCTTGAACTTGTGAGTAAAATATGAGGATATTATCTTTCAGAGTATGTTACACATCACATCAAACTGAGGCTGGAAATATTACTATTGTATAATAGTGAGAAAAGACATGATTTTCATTCTTTTTGGCATACTTTATGACCATTTTAAACCTGGATGAGTAACTGTTATATTTCCTCATGTTTCATATATTCTTTGAAATCACTGGGACAGAAAGAAGTGGAAAGGCAAAATAATGAGACACAGAATGCTGATGCTGCTCAGCAGTAGCAGGTAAGAGCCACTCACACCTGGCTGGCAGGTGTGACAGGGATACCAGAACTAAGACAGGGACAGTGAATGTGGGACATTTGAACATCTGGACTGTGATGTTATAAGCAGCACAGAGTTGTAATGTTATTGAAGGTTTAAGAATGCATGTAAAATCTTGTGGGCTTCATTTCTTCATAAAGATCAGGATGGCATTTTTAGATTGCCTGGAAATTCACACCTACAGACTCCAACAAGCAATTCCCTGATAAATACTGAGATAAAACTGACCACGAGTAAGATTTGAACAATGCATAATTTTAGCAGAAACTGTGATTAAATGGCCATACACCATATTGCCATACTGCACACAAATTTAAACACATTTTCTGCAAACACTATAGATTAGTTGAAAAATTTTCAATGTGATATTTTGTCTCAGTGTTCACCAAGAAATTAAATGACAAGAGTCCACAGGCATGAATATCCATGCCATGTTGCCACACTGAATTCAACTCCATAGTCCCATTTTCCATGAATATTAAAACTTCAACAAAAACTTCATCTTCGGACATTTTCATTTTAATGTTCATCAAGGGATCACATGGGGCAGTTCATAGGTGTGATTTCTGGAAATATCATACACCTAGTTCCAGTTCTCAAGAGATTTCTAAGGGATAATCAGAAAGCAGTTGGATCTTACTTACTTACTTACTCATGGAAGCGGCCTCCATAGTCTAGGGGTAACGTTCCCACCTCATGACTCAAGGTACGCGGGTTCAAACCCAGCAGAGGTCATGGAATTTTTAAGGGCAGAAAAATTCAGGGAACAAATCCTCAGGGAGGGACTTTAAGCCGTGGGTCCAATGTCGTACATTTACGGCACGTAAAAGATCCTCATGTCTCTAGGAGACCTCTGAGCAAAATTAGGCAACAATTTCCCACCCAAGTAGTAGTAGTATTCGGTACCGACGGCCAACCTCGTTGGCTGAACGGGGCTGATATCACGCACCAGTACCGGTAGGGTATGGCGACAGTAGAAATTAAAGATGGACAATGGACCAATAACTGGTTTAAGTGCATGGGGAAACCCACCCCCCTCTAATAATAATAATAATAATAATAATAATAATAATAATAATAATAATAATAATACTGACTCATGGAGCTGAGCCCTTCTTGAGGAGCCACTAATTCTGCAGCTACTCACGACTTTACCAGCATTTTATGGAACCCAAAGGTTCTTTACCATGTTCACAAGAGCCCTCCACTGGTCCCTAGATCAATCCAATCCATGCCAACCAATTGTATTTCTCTAAGATCCATTTTAATACTGTCCACCCACCTACATCTTGGTGTTTCCATTGGTCTCTTTTCTTCTGGCTTTCCCACCAACATCCTATATGCATTCTTCTTCTCCCCCATTTGTGATACATGACCTGCCCACCTGATCCTCCTTGACTTGATCATTATCTACTTTACCCCAAATTATTTCATTTATTATGCATTAAGACAAATAGCAAATTGCAAAGAAACACAAAATTTAAATGGTGACAGCTTTCCAGAATGCTTTCAAGCATGACATCACAGTCCCTTCTGCTGCAAACATCTGCAGCACATGCACCAGAAGCAAGAAATATATGAATGCCACTGACTATAAGTTCCTCCAAACTAAGTGCCACTTGGTATCTCCCTCTTAAGTTTCTGCCTTAATTGTCATGGAAATCAGCAGCCAATGTCCATATTTTATAGTTGATCAAGCAGAGTGTTACATTACTTGAGAAGCCTTTGATACGTGTCTAAATTTACAATATATGATTAAGTGGCTGGCAGTCAGTGAAGTCACAAATTATATGATGAATTACTTATTTTGATGTGTATTAGTAACAGTTTTAGGCTAAAAGTTGGAGCTAAAAACATGATATTAATTCCCACCCTTGGTTTTTTGTCTGAAAGTATGGGTGTACAAATTATGTGAGTAAATATAGCAGCTATTATTCAATTTTTAAAATAGAAAATTAATTTTGGATCATGCTATATGGTAAGGGTAAAGCTATTTAAGAATGATAATTCTGATGATAGAAAGCAAAACTGGAGATAAAGAACTGTGGAATGAATGGTAGAGGAATGGGCAACCACATGTAAATCTGCCCTACTGCACATCTGTTACTAATCTTTTTATGAAATGACTATGGACTTTAGCAGAGGATCAACTGTTACATCATTTATGGTAAATGTAGGTTGCCCATGCTTAGTTAAGCACCACAACATGAAGATAAACGGGTAAGATGATGCATAGGTCCAAGCATTTTTACTCTTAGCATTAGATGGAGCAGAGTGGTCACATTCACACCCCAGTCACTCTACACCACTGGAAAGAATCCCCAGTTTGTACTGGGTGGGCACCACAGCCAATATGAATAAAGCAAACAATTGCTTCTGCCTCTGCTGAGAACTGAACCCCAATTCTCCACTTGTCGAGCCAGCAACTTGGCCACTATACTGAAACAATGTACTTTATATGGGCATTTATTATACATTCATGGAGATTACTGTCTTCTGGCATGTGACACCATATAACCTGGTAGTTTTTCACCTATGTTTTACAGCATGTGCAGCTGCCATCTTCAAAGTAGAAGTTCACTGCTGTGAAACCTCAAATCTTGCATACAGATTCTTATCTGAAGCATGATATATGTGAATGTTTGCATTTTCAATTTCCCTGCTATTCATTCCACTATATCCACTATAATTCTTCCATCAATAAAATCAACAATGAACCTTCATGGCTGATGATTAATAAATAATGTCATTATCATACTCTTTATTCATGTTGCAACAGATGCAAACAAAACCACAAAACCTTGGTACACTAAGCCCTCCTGGAACACGGATTCACTATTATCTCATTTTTTCTTATCAAATACATAAATAAATGTTACAATTCACATTAAAATACTGGGGGTTAGACTCAATGGTTTTTAGCGCATTTTAATGAAACTTATATAACACAAAGTTAAACATGACGATGTCAGTGCACAATAAGAAATAACAGGCATGGCATATCTGGCAACCACTGAACTGGGAGAAATAAAAAAAAACTTAGCCCGTTTCCTATCCAAGATTTGAAACAAGTATCTGTTAAAACAAGATGTGTTACCATAGTTAACGTACTGAGCGAACCAGACGTATGCAGCAGTTTCATTATAAAAAACTCATTTCACCAAAACGTAATTTTACATTATATGGCATTTTTCAAACTGGATCTTCCATGTTACAAGTGGGCCTATGTATATGAGCATGCCACAAAAGCATAACATACAACTTAAGGACAAATTATTACAAAAGCAATCATCACATTCCACCACTACTACTTTACAGCTAACAACACTCACAACTACATAATGAATATGGAAAAAAAAAATTTGAGAGTAAAAAAAAAATGGTCCTACTTTTCACAACATTATACAAGGACAAAACCTGGTGTTATCTTCTGTCAATGTCCCTGTGGGCCCTTGCTCTGGTTAGTGCTCCTTCCTTTCTCACCTATCCAATACAGTATATAAATTAAGAGCATTAATATGCAGCATGCTCACATGATTATATTGAAACAAAGTAATGCAAACACAGTGGAAGTCTGTTATAACAAGAATTCATAACAGTGCAAAAAACTGGCACTTTTTACAAATATTTTTACAGGCAATTTAAAACCAGAAAATCAGAAATCACTCCAAAAATGAAACAGCAAATGTATACGCTCATATCACTGCAACTGACGAAAATGTAAAAATTTATATGGGAATTAACATATACTCTGTAATACATAACATATGAATCATATCCTAAAATCTGAAGCCAATAAACACACAAAAAGGTCAGTGGGGTTTAATAACAGTGGATAATTTAATCTGAACACCATGAACAGTGGGAAAAATCATCTGTACAGTACCAAACACTGAATAAACATAGCAGCTGAATGGTCTAGTGCCAACTTGTGATTGCATTTGCACCTGAACTACCTAGTAATTCAATTTCATTTTCCTTGAAAACTTATACAAAAAATAATACAGTATGTCCCTTCTTCCTGCTAGAACACAGAAGCTATGTAAGCACGTCATCTCACCATCATCACCAAGTTTAAATATTGTGGCATGTCCGCTGAAAGCTAGAATAGTTTAATCACAAAAGACACCTGATGCTATGTTAGAGCACTGTAAACACGTGACCGCAGAAAATGTTACATACGCAAAAACAGAGGAAATGTGGGAAGTGAATTTCTCTGTTGGTTCTGTGCAGAGACTACATCTGGAGAAAAAAATTAACAAAGAGTCAGTCAAGTGGTGAGTGGTTAGCAGTTAAAATTGAGAGTAAGTCTGCAGGCAGACAGACAATGGTTAGGGGTTGCAGCCATGAGGAGTCGAGTTGTGAGACAATCGCCAGCCAGTAATGATGTAAACACAAAAGCTGAGGAATATAAGGTGTTGGGAGACAATATTATATTTAAGCATCCTGTTACACTCTACACAATGTATGACACAAACTCCGTCCTAAGTGCAACAATTTATTGTGGTTCTTTTGTCTTCTTTTCTTCTACACTACATGTTTTGGTTGTAAATGGCCATCATCAGGTGTATTTCTCTCATGTAGCTGTTACACTGCACGTAGTTTAAAATTTAAAAACACCAGCTTTCTTAATTGTTCATTTCTCCATTGTTAATAGGTCCTGATACATCAGAATCCACTTGCTGATATCTGTCAGATATGTATAAAAATCTTTGTTAATTTACATATGTCAATGTGATTTTTGAATTTTGGTATTTTTAAAAAACTTCAATTTAAATTTACAAATTTTTAAAATTAAAAAAAAAATTAATTGTCCTGTATTAAAGATAGGCAGCGGCATGCACACAGGAAGCCTGCACAGAATAATACCTGAATGGTGCTGAAAACAAGAACTAGCCGCTGCAGCACTGTAGACCTAGAGCAGGTATCTCTGTGAATTTTAAATTTAAAAAAAAATCTAATTTTTAATTTTAATTGAAGATTTTTAAAAATACCAAAATTCAAAAATCAAATTCATGTATGAAAATTAACAAAGATTTTATACATATATGACAAATATCAGAAAGGGGATTCTGATATATCAGGACCTATTAACAGTGGAGAAATGAACAATTAAGAAAGCTGGTGTTTTTAAATTTTAAACTACGTGCAGTGTAACAGCTACATGAGAGAAATACACCTGATGATGGCCATTTACGGCCGAAACATGTAGTGTAGAAGAAAAGAAGACAAAAGAACTATAATAAATTGTTGCACTTAGGACGGAGTTTGTCATACATTGTTGGGAGACATTACCAAGCAACAACCAGTGAAGACACAGCAGGCAAAGAATAAGTATGTGTCACAGCAAATCATAAAGAGTGTGTGAATTAGTGAAAGTGCATAATTAATTGTAGTTTTGATTTGTAAGAGTCCAATTAACCCAATTACCAATCTCAACCCTGCCTTTAGTCACTTAACATGTGACAAACATGCTGCTACAATGAATTCACTACTACTATTCCCAAAAGAGCCAGTCATGGTAGCTGAGCGGTCTAAGGTATGTACTGTCTTCACTCACTCAGAAGCCGGAATCGTTTGAATCCCACACAAAGCATGGATGTTTGGTATGTGTATGTGTTTATTCTATGTTTGTGTTGTCCTGTATTTAGGCAGAGGCCTTGCAACAAGCTGATCACTTGTCCAAGGAGTCCTCCGTCTGTAAATGATCATGAAACTGAAAATCAGAGGCCAGAACCCAAAGGGGCTGTAGAGCCAGTGAAAAAAAAAATCCCATGAGAAATGTGATGGCACACATGATGTGCCGCTGCTTTGTGAGTAGGACTTATCGGAGGTTGGTACATATAAATTAAAACTGGTGAATGCATACAGATGCATATTTACATGAGAGCTTTCAGTACAATGTCAAACATGCTTTAAAAATATGTAAGATTTTAGGCTTTCACGGCAGTGACTATGAAGAGAGCAGTCTTCTGGGATTTGGCACCGTGTATATGTGGTGTTGACCGACGTTTCGGAGGAACGTATCGCCTCCATCTTCAGGGTAGAAGGAAAAATATAATCCGCAAGCGAAGAGACCGTGAGAACTTGTGAGCAGACTGGTCTGCTTTTACCGGTTCTCACGGTCTCTTCGCTTGCGGATTTCTAATATTTTTCCTTCTACCCTGAAGATGGAGGCGATACGTTCCTCCGAAACGTCGGTTAACACCACATATACACGCTGCCAAATCCCAGAAGACTGCTTTCTTCATGCTTTAAAAATCTTGCATATGTCCTGTTAGTTCACATGTTCCTTAAAAGGAACCAAACTAATCAGTAGGATGGATGGTGTGGAGGCAATTTTTTAGCTCAACTAATGAGTATCTTTCATGGAGACCCTGTTAATACATTACTAAGCTCCTCTCAGTTTTGTTCAAACACAATAGGTCAGTCATCTGTCCGACAGTTATCAGCATGACGTTCAACAAAACTCCAAGAGCTGTACCACAGAAAGAGCCACATAAATAGCGAACTTGATGAGAGAAACACAGTAGTTCAGTGAGGGTAACTCTCAACATGCAGGCAGTATGTACCCCGCATGTGAAAGTGCACTATAACCATTATTAGATAATTCATTCTACCCCGAGGCATAGAGCATGCCAACTGCTTCACCTCTCAAAACACTGTTCTACCAAGCTGACTCATCCATGTGACTGTCAAAAACAACAAAATTTAATTTTTTAGTCTATAGCCCAATGGGGTGGCAAACAGTGCAAACTACACTAGGTTACGTACTTCCACGAAGAAAAGAAAACTTTCTGAATATTCTCTTTCTTCATGCTGTTATATTTGTTATTTCCTGCGATGCACTAACAGGTACTCTCCTGCACATGTACTGGGACTGTCTATGAAGACAGCCACACTCCTGAGTCAAGATGCAAGAATGCTGTGATGTCAGAAGTGCACACACGAGTCTCAAAGAATATGAATTTGTGGTTATACCAAAGTGTTAAACTCAAGCTTACACAAATCCAGAGAGGAGAGAAATGTGCTTATTACTGTGAAAATTCTGAAAATGTGTTCTCATTAAAACCAAAACTTAACGTAGTACTTGTTATAGGCCATACTCATTACACCAAACTTCCACTGTATGTTTTATAACATACAGTTATGAAAGGGTTAGAGGAATGAACATGAGCGTAAATTATTTAATATATGGACCCTGCAACATTTTAATTATTTCTTCCACAAATAATAAACATCCCAGGAAACCTTCACTTACCTTCAGCCATTCCTTTTCTGTCAGACTGTCAGTATAATCCACTTCCTTACGTTGGCGAGAGCCTCGCCCATAGTAGCGTTCTTCTTCCTCCTCTCCTGTCCATTTCTCCACCTCTTCATCCTCTTTCACAAGCCATGTTGGTAACTCCTGTTCCTCCATCAGACGAGGTCTGCGGTCTGAGCCAAGTTTCGAATCCTCACGCCGACGTTCAATGTCCATCTTCTGGAACATCTCGAATTCGGTCTCACACCGAGCAATCATCTGGTTCACAGTCTCATCATCAGGCACTTCATTCTCCTCCTGGAAAGCAATTGGTTTTATATAACTAAAGAGTCAGTTCTTCCGCACCCCGAATTCCAAACTGAATTCTGTAGAAAGAATTTTCATTAGCCTCACATATTCACTATCCAAGTATATCTTCAATAACCATATCTAACTGTGAAGCAATAATAGCCCTTCCTGCAAACTGAATTTGTTCAATAAATAGTAAGACTTTAATATCAAATTTAAACTGAATCTCTTCATCCAGAATAATTACACGTGTAATCAATATGCAAGTGTAACAAAATGTATCAGAATCCAATTAAATTTCAAATACAGCCCTCAAAAATCAAAAGAACAAAAATGATAGAAAACTTACCTTATTGAATCAACAAGCACATTTCTGTACCTCCTACTTATATTTTAAAGGTTTTGGTTCATTCTAAATAGCCTGTTATCACCTTTACATCAGAAATAAACTGATACTTTTAATTACAGGGGACATAACACATACTATGAAGAAGACAAAGATTTGGAGAATGTAAAAATTGCTAATTTGTAGAAGTACTAGGAATCATAGATCCCATTTTCAAAGCATTATTAGTTTCTTAGCACACAATAATATAAATTTATGACATTTTCTAGACCAACATTATTTTATGGTAGTGAGTAACGGACAATAGGAACTGATGACAGATGTTTGGTATCAGCCAAAATGCACTTCATGTGGACTGCAGGATACAACCTTTCAGACCAAAGATGAAATAAATAAATTAGAACTATAAATTTAAGAAACAACAGAATATATAAAAAAATACAGAAAAGACTGAGGACACGTTGGCAGGATGAGCTTTGACAGTATTCCTCAAAAGTTTACATGATATCAGCAAAAGTGGGGAAAAAAGGTTTAGCAAGACCTCAAATACTAGGATCCTATTTGTAATATCTGCAACAAGTTTCAATAGGCCTAATACTGTAAAAGACAATCGTGACATCTAAACCAACACGATAAAAGAAAATTATATAAACTGTCCAAGATCATCAATTCTAGTTCTATAAATATTTCTCAAACAAACATACTTTCATGTTTCAAGCATATTTTTATCAGAGAACTGCAATTTACCTCATCATCTGCCTCATCCTGGTGGAGAATTGTTTTGAGGAATTTCTGACGCTCTGAGCCGGTTGATTTCTGATCAAACATGCCAGCCTGAATCACTTTCTCATCCATATTGAGTTTGTAACGCGCTGCTGCTAGTATACGTTCCTCCACAGAGTTCACTGTCATGAGTCGCAGGACCCGCACTTCATTCTTCTGACCAATACGGTGAGCTCGGTCCTGGGCTTGCAAATCCTAAGACATATCACAAACCATTACTATAATTCTCTGTTTTACAATCACACACTTACAGAAAGAGAGTTTAATACATTAAATTGTCTAGTTGGAAATGTGACAGAACTTTGCTTCATTAAAAGTTCACAATTAGAAATGATTACAAGACACAAAATTTAGATTTCTTCTTATTTAGTTACAGCCTGCTAGTGACTCTCACAATGCTCAAATATAATAAACAGACACAGTCCAACAAATGCCCAGCTAGATCTGAATATGTTAAAAGTAGAACAAAAAATACATAACCTGAATTCATATTTCGAAAAAGTATCATTTATGCTAAAAATGCAATATTTTTTAACTAAAAGCAGTATATCTCAAATGATGATAAGTAAGATAAGCAGACAGTTACCTTAACCTTTATGAGCCGAAGGACACCATATGGGGACCTTTAAAGTACAGCCGAGTGGCCGAAAGACACAGTATGGGTATGTGCAGTCCACGAGTGCGCACAGTGTTTTAAAATCTAATTTTAAGATAGAAATTATTGTTCTACGTACATTATTTTTGGATACCTGCTTTATAATTAGTCTGTCTCCCCTCCTGCGTCATCTAATTGAATGTTGCCTTCGTGTGGAACTGTTGGAAACATCCGGAAATGCATAGTCCGTCGCACTTCACGCATTTTGTCCGGATGTAACTTTATTTCCTACGCGAAGAGCACACACGACATCTTAATCTCGTAGAAGAGGAAGTAGGCCAATGATGTCGAGAGGCCTCCTCTAATCGAGATATCGCCAATGTCACAGCAGGAGGTTGACCCGTGGACCGCTGAGGGCGAGGTGGACCCCTTGCAGCATGTTCCAGCATGTTGCGCACAAGGGCGAGACGAAATTCTCTGTGTGAAAATTACGCGCCACAGGATGACAACAGGATGAAACTGTTCAGAATCGTCATATCCAGGAAATGGAAAAATAGTTTATTTGTCCATTTCCAGGTCTGACGACTGATGCTATAACTGTTTGCCATTCTGTCCGCTTTGTCGACATAACCCATGTGTGTGTTGTAATCGGCAACAATTGCTGGCTTGATGGCATTTCCATGCTCATCACAGAAACTGCCTTCTGCTGGAGGACAGTGCATGTTTGTCATTATGTAAACGTCACATTTGTCCTTCCAAACTACTGCTGTCAAGTTCTGTCTCACCCTAAGACAAATGTCACCTTTCTTCAGTCGAAATTGTCTTCGTCAAAAATCGTCAGGCAAGCCCTTCCGATTAGGTCTGACTGTCCCACAGCATGTTATGTCCTTTGTCGTCAGTTCCTCAAACAAGTCTGGTGATGAAAAGAAATTGTCCATGTACAGTTTGTGACCTACGCCCTCAATACATCTGCATAGGTCCCTAACTGTAGCATGTGTCGCTGTCACGTCTTGGTCGGCACGTGTCCTGTCTTTTCCTAGGTAAACTTTCATGTCATAAGTATACCCAGCGGCGTCACAAATTTTGAAGATTTTGATTCTGAAACGTTTGTGTTTCTTAGGAATGTACTGCCTAAAAACCACCCTCCCTTTGTATTTTACAATTATTTCGTCAATGGCCAAATGTTCGGAAGGGTTATAATATTTTTCAAATGCGTCATTGAGAGTGTCGAAGATGGTCCGAATTTTCCAAAGTCGGTCATAACTGTCGGCATTCCTATCAGTTTCTGTATTGTTGTCTACAAAATGAAGAAAACGAAGAATGTGTAGGAAACGGTCGCGTTTCATTGTGCTAGAGTAGAAAGGCGTGGCAAATTGTTCTGCAATCGACCATTAGTCCTTTAGTCTGTCTCTAATGTCATGTCCCATTTGAATGATTATTCCTAGAAACAGAAACATCTCGGAATCGGTCACGTCAGGCCGCAGAGAAGGTCCGTCTTCAAGTTTGTCTAGGTACTGGTGGTAGTACCTATTGGTCTCTTCCACCAGCAGACGGATAATCCCTGTGAAGTATAGCATGAAAATGCAGAAAGGGGTGGAATCCTTATTTACGTGTGGAGCTTCATTGATATTTAACGCCACAGCTCCACTGGAATAATTATTCACACGCCTCCTGCCATGCTGGTGTGGTGGTCCCCAGGTTGCCAACGAAGATGATGCGTCTTCATCGTCTTCAATTTCTGAATCTCTTTCTTCCTCGTCGCTCTCTGAGGTTTCTCTGGCACAGTCTGAATCGGTGTCATTTAGCAGCTGGTTCTCAATTTCATCTTCTTCCAAGTGAAACGAGGCCACGGTGAATGTTCTTTTCACTTCACAACGCACTAGCTATGAAGTCTGGCAGTACTGTTTATACAGTTCATAGAACAGTTATCGCTTGTGGCTCCTCTCAGATATAGTCTTAGAGTGTCAAGGACAAATAGCGAGAGCTTCATCCACACTTGTGTATACAAAGACGGTCCAGTACTTGGAATGTGTTTTATAAACAGAAGCTTCGAACCCACTCGCAGATAAGATGGTTCGAGTAAGCATGATGTCAGCAGTAGGCATTTGTACAGCAGAAACGTTTTGTGCAGAAACTGTATGCATATTTGTGGACACGTTCGAAATTGAGGGAATTTTTTTTCTGGAACCAGTGTAACAATTTTTACAGATTCTAAAACCTGTAAATTACAATATCTGATTCTATATTCTTTCTAGATAAAAGCCGTATTTATTTCGTTCATCACAAAAATTGCAGAAATCACAGCATTTTCAGTAACATGATTACAATTTTTATTACTCTACAATGGCGGGCATTTAAATTAACTCCATCTCGCTGCCACTACCAGAATTTAAATGGCCTGTCCCCTAATGGTTAATGAACTGCACTGGCTGCAGGTGACTGAAATTCTACACAGTACTGAGAGTTAATGGACTTATGTACACAAAGTACTGCCTCTCTGCAAATTATTCTCAATCCATTCCAGGTAACATAGGTTTTACTGTGCTACCCTATCCTTCAGAGACTGAAGAAGTGCAAGTGAAAACTCATGTCAAGATACCCGCTTTCCAGTAGAAATTAATACCAAACACACCCCCAAAAGCATGACTTCATATGGGAATACTGTTGCCACCCTCTTGGGGCAGTTCTGCAACAATTACCTGATGTGGATTCCAATCTGAGTCAAAAATGATAACAGTATCAGCAGACTGCAAATTCAGACCTAGTCCTCCAGCTCGAGTGCTCAACAAAAACACAAAGTAGTCAGACTCAGGGCTGTTGAACTTGCGCAGAAGTTCACCCCTGTCTTCAGCTTTAGTGGTGCCATCCAGACGCAAATAGTGAAATCCACGCCATCCAAGATAATCTTCCATAATGGTCATAAGTTGTGTCATTTGACAAAAAAGAAGCACACGATGACCAGTTGCCTTCAGCTTTGGCAAAATGCGGTCAAGCAATTCAAATTTTCCTGATGCTCGGTACAGATCTGGCCTATAAAACATGCACATATTACTAATAAACAATCAGATAAGGGTTCTTGTATGTTCAATTAAAAATCTGATTCATAAAAGGAATACAAAATCAGTGTATGTATAATATTCACACACCAGTACCTTGAGAAACACAAAGTACTGGAAAATTATGCAGTATTTAAAAAGTTGCAATGACTTCTTGACATATAACAAAACCTCACTGCACAAACAAAGCACTACTCTACCGAACTTCTCTCTTTTCTTTCTTTTTCCTCAGTGCTCTGAACCTTCAAAAAGCAGCAAAGTTACAACCTATCAAACTGATAACATAGTCCAAATTAAGCATAAAAATAAAGATGCAAAACACACCACATAAATAAGGAGTAGCCACACATTTTCTTTGTTCCAATCTGCATGCTAAGATCTATCATTTTCAGAAAGTCTTACCCTATAACAACACTTCCATGGATGCCAACATGGTCACAGTATGCCTTCTCAATGTGCTGAAACATGAATGGATGATTGCAGAGCTTACGAAGCTGCATTATGGTGTTCATAAGCGCTTTGGCTCCACCCTTCCCTTGCTTTCCTTTCTCAGATCCATCAGTTAGGAGGACTCCCTTACTTTGCATGTGGCTGCAAACACAGATCCATGATTATCCGAGCCTTCATTCAATGCAGGACATAATATTTCTATGAAGTACAGAGAATATGTAAATTTATAATTCTTCCAAATTACAGTGGAACCTCGCTTAATGAGTATCTCTCATAACGAGTAATTCGCAAAATGAGCAAAACAAATTGTAAAAAAATGACTCGCTTAATGAGCGACGTTTCGCAAAACAAGTGACGAGAGGGGAAGTCCTGGATTGTGTGCTTGCTACATCAGTCTGTGTTTAGCACTCGTTCCGCTAGCATCTTAGTGTCGCTTGTGATCACACATTTTTCCAAACTTGTGTTCATTCATATTATTTGTGATTTTTTTGTGCAAAGTTTAACCCTTGCAGAAATGTCCCCGAAGAAAAAGCCGCAAAAAGACAGCTATAAGAGAATAAAAATAACCGTAGAAATGAAACATTAAATCACTGAAAAGCAAGAACGAGATGTGAGCGTGGCTGATCTAGCACGTACACACAATCGGTCTACATCAATGATTTGCACGATTTGGAGTTGCATTGTGTTTCACAGCAAGAAGTTGTGGAGGAGAGTGTGTCAGAGGAGGAGGAGGAGGAGGTAACAGCAAAGCAACAATCTTCTGGCGCAATAAGAGATGTGCTGAAAGCATGAGAAACTGTTTCATCGTACATTGAGAAGCATCACCCTAATAAAGCAGTGGCTATGCGCGCTACAAATTTATTTAATGATAATACTGTGTCGCATTTTCACCAAATTTTGAAGCGTCGGCAAAAACAAATGTCTCTAGACAGCTTTCTAGTAAAAAAGAATTAGATATGTATCATAAATAATAAACTAATTATTTGGATAAATTTGATTTGTTTATTTATATTTGTGATTTATATTTGTAATTATTTGGATTTTTTTTGTTTCCTGCAAATTGAATTCGCATTCCAGGTTGGTTCATTCCGCATAGAAGAAAAGATGATGATGATTCATGCTCCTTAACAATGTATATATAATTTTCTTTGAATAAACGTTATGTATAAAATTTTTTGAGTATTTTTTCGGCGTGGAATGCATTATCGTATTTTACATTAATTTATATGGGAAAAATTGTTTCGCTTAACAAGTGTTTCCCATTATGACTAAGATTCTGGAACGAATTATGCTCATTAAGTGAGGTTCCACTGTATTTTACAAATGTCTATGGACTCAATCACATCTGTCTGCATCCAAATAATAAAAGCAGCTCTTTTATAACCACCACCACAAATGTAGTCCATCATAAAAATACTTGCACATGTCTGCATTATATAGAAAATATGTGCAACATATGCAGATCCATGCACACTTAACATCTGTTTAACATAAAACATATAGTTCGCTTGTTTACTTCATTTTACATCTTCATGACTTCTATGTCTCTCCATATTCTTGAAATAAATAACTGCAAATTGTCTTTGGAATGACCCTGTATGTCAAAACATTTCCCACCTGTACAGAACTCTCTGCAGCCCTGACATGTCACACTTGATGATGTATTCCACTTTGTCTGGTAACTGCGACTCAACCTCCTTTTTCAAACGACGCAGGAGGAATGGCCGTAAAACTTTATGCAAACGGCGGATGATCAGTATGGTTTCTTCTTCATTCAGTTCAACCTGTCATAAAATATCTAGTCAAATTCTGCTACCCAGCCAAGAAAAATTGAAAGTAATTTGTGTGCATATTTCTCAGGTGATGGGGACAAGACACTCACTCAGTTAGGTCACCTAGAAAGCGCTAATTAAGCGCCTGTCAGATCCACTACATCTATTTAATCACTTGAGACCAGGCCAATTCGGCATGAGATAACAAGAAAATATGCAATAAAAATTGTGACAGAGCACACACGTGTGGAACTAGGATAGAAAAAGAGGCTATATATAACTAAATGTCATAACTTTGTTCATGACACAGCTTACTCATTTTCTGTGAGGTACTCAGTTATGCTGGAACACAGGGTATCTTGAACAAGATTACTTGTTCATGGTACTACTCAATCCTTCAAGGCAAATGCCAGGATAATACAAATAAACAGGTCATGACTGTTTCATACCCCATCCTTGCCATTTCACCTGACTTTAACTAACTTCTGAAAATGACGGTGTTATTATTTTCCTTACATGGTCACAGTTCAGATCTCCCATGTCTGTAAGGTGTCTCTCATGTTATGGAGCAAGCGGCTATTCATAGGTTTCAAAAATTTCCTGCACTTCTTCTATAGTACCCGCATTATGCTTTACAATAATATTCAGGAGTCTTCTCTAACAGAAATTAATTATTTTCCTCAAAAAAAATCATAAATGCTGCTAGAGAATTTGTATTCTACCTAACTGCACTGTGTAGCTTCTTCTAAAGGTACAGGAAATCTGAATTTCAATCAAGAATTTTCCCAACATAACATACATGAAACACTTTTCTGAGATGCAAATTGTTGCAATGTGAACATAAGAGGGTTAAGCATACTGATTTTTTTTTAAATATGTTGCAGAAAATCTCGCATGGGAAAGGAGGCTACTGGAGGAGAAGATGACTGTACAGAGCACAGTGTCTTACCTAAACCAATTAAAATTTCCAATACAGTAAGGCAAAAATTTGAGTCCTCTAATTTTCCTATGGACACCAAGTGACAATTTTTTAAGGAACCACTGTACTGATTCATGGACAACTGGTTATAAAACGCTTACTTTGAGAATGTGTTGCTTTCTCACTAATAATTAAGACATTTTAAATGTCTCAGAACTATGCTGCAACTTGCCTTCTCTCCTGTTGTAGCAAAGGGAGCATTGAACCACTGTTCAAAGGTACTGACTGACTTGAAGATTGATGGTAGCAGGAAATTCAGAAGCGCCCAGAGCTCAGGGAGTTTGTTCTGCAGTGGGGTACCAGTAAGTAGAAGTCTGTGTGGAGCCAAGTAATGCGTGTTCAAAACTTGGGTCAATTTGCAGTGGTGGTTCTTCATGCGGTGTCCCTCATCAATAATCATGAACTTCCACCGCAACTATAATCACAACCACAATTATAACACCTCAACAATGACCACATTAACATATTTATTACCTGTTTAACTCCATGCTCTATGTAGCCATGGCTACACATTTTAACATTATAAGTTTAAATCTGAAAAATGAAGGCTCAACTAATACATGTTTCAAACTGATATAAATTTTGAATTTGCACGGTCCTCACATGAGCAGCAGCTGTCATAACTGGTACTGATCTACTTGCATTTATTCCATCATAATTCCTTATTTTCTTCTATCTTTCCTTCTTTCCTTTTCTCCTTTACATTTCTGGCCAGTACAAAGAATTCGGTACAGGGTGGATAACCTCTCACTAATCAAGGATTATGTCCACTGGAATTCCAAGTTATGATCCCTCATAATCAGTTGGTCATTCCCAAATACTTACATAATATATAAAAAGGCCCACTTATGTTATACCTCTTAAACCCAAATGTTTCCCAAAGTACTTTCTTTTCAGACATTTGTAAGAGTATGAGACCACATTCCACAGCCTACAAAACAATTGGCAAACTGATTGTTTTATATACCTCAATCTTTAAACATTCAAGTGTTTTGGAAAGTATACATGATACTGAATAACAACCATTTCGAGAACTCATTTCCTTTTCCAATTTCATCATGAACCTAAACTTTCAAAATTATACTGCAGAACCAAGCAGACCGGTAAACCTTACTATAACACTTGCCTTTGCAAGTACGGCCTTGTCCTTAATGATATACTCATATGTTGTGAGCAGCACATTGAACTTGGTGGCACGCATCTGACTTTGTATATTGCGACGCATGGTTGGAGAGCCCTTGTATGCCACAATAATGACAGATGGAGCCCACTTCTCAAACTCTAGCACCCAGTTGGACAGAGTGCTGCAAAGAATGACAGAATGGTATATACACTAGTATTATAATAAAAGATAAACTAATGCTCTGTTTACCCACTTAACCCATATTTTGTATTTACTTTTACCTTTTGTCTACAATTTACAGTAAAACCATTAGACTCTAGACCAATACATTTTTTAGAAATTTTGAGGATTCAGTGCTACCACTCATAGTGTGTGTGTTCTATTATAATGTCATTTAAAAGTAAGTTACATCAATCTTCATTCCACCACTTGCTCCACGATCACCCTCACCTATCATCTGTGGCTGGTACAATAGGCCAGAAGCGGCCGCAGTACAAGGGACTTAGTCCCACCCCACTAGCATTAAAAAAAAAAAAGCTACATCATTTCAGTTCAATACTTCAAGCTTTCCAACTGTAGAAGGGTGGCTGGCATGTCAGGCTGACAATCTTATCACCATCTATGAGCCAGCTATCTAGATGTGGGAGCCTTGACCTCTCACATCCTATGGGCCTTCACGGCCTGTTATATGGACAGCTTTACTTTTACGCTTCATTAAAAATTTAATTACTGCTTTTGCATGAAAATACTTCTTTGAAACAAAATTTTATGTAACCAGCAATTTTTGCGGCAAGCCATCTGCATTGGGCAGATAATAAAAGATAAACCAATATTTCAGTCACTGTACTATGTATTAAATTAAGTTTACACCAGAACTGTGCTTCTAATATTTGATAAATTCATTCAACTAAAATTTGTTTTTATAAAAATAATAACAAATTACTTATGAGAATATTTCCACATGCATCTTAAAATAAAAAAATGACAAAAAATATTTAAAGTAGCACACAAGAGTGTTCTGATTATACACAGTCATTTTACAGTTATGTGCCTTTGTGTTACACTTCTGGCACCTGTAGTAACCATAACATCCTCTTAATGGCCCGTTCAGCTGAAAGTTTAATCTTTGTAAGGCCACGGCCACACGAGCAACATTTACTGCTCGAAATCCGCGACAAATGAAGCTGCTGCAACTGTCGCAAATGAGGTGGCCACACTAGAGCCGCAATTACTGCTCTTGGGAGCGTCAAATGTCGCAACTAGGTGGCCACATGGAGCCGTCCGCGATACCGAGCGTCAATAGCCATCATGTCACAGTGTGTGTGCAAAATATGGCGAGCAGTAGGCTACTGAACAGACAAGCAGTATCCGCATTATGTTTATTATTAATCTGTCGTCGACGCCGAAAACAGCTACAGCAGAGGAGAAAGCGGTGGATCCATCCCGTGATGAGTGACAGGTCAGCGAGGTGGAAATTTGTGCTACTACGTCACAAGTTAATGGAATATCCCGACAAATTTCTCGTATATTGTAGGATGACAATCAAATCATTTGAAATACTCTTATCCCTCGTGGAGGATACCATTTGTAAAACTCCATAGCGATTCACTACCAAACGAAAACAAGATTCAAGTACCAAATAAAGCACGCGACAAATGAAGCTCGTGTGGCCAGGCGAACTACCGACAAATGCAGCTAGAAAATGGGCCGAGACCCATCCGTCCGCGACGCGACCTTCAAATTGCTCCCTCCGCCAAGAAACCAGCGTTATTTACTGCTCCGTGTGGCCCTTCTCATTTAACTCCATGGTGCGTATTTCTTGAACTTCATTTGTCGCTGATTTCGAGCAGTAAATGTTGCTCGTGTGGCCGTGGCCTAAGACTGAAACGCGTGGCAAGTGTTTCAGGTACTTACGACAAGGGGACAATAATAAGATAAGGTCCATTGACTCTCTTCTTTTCCATTAGGTACGTGATAAGTGCAATTGTCTGAATAGTCTTCCCCAAACCCATCTCATCTGCCAGGATTCCATTCAGGTTATTGTTATACAGGGATACCAACCACTCCAGACCCTAATCAAGAGCAAATTATTTTATTAAACCAATCTGTCACCACTTTCATTATCAGGGCCCAGATTTTGATGACATGTCATCTTTTTTTTTTTTTCCTTGTATCCTATGCGATGCTCTTAAATATATAAATCTCGGATATGAGCTGCTGGTTATAGAAATGTAAATTTCATAGGTAATTTTTTGTCACTTTTTGACATTTTCAGGTTTAAGGTCATTTTTTCATTTTGGGGGTAATTTTTGGAATTTTAAGGGTATTTCTTGTCATTTTTGGCCATTTTAGGGAATTTTTCTTCATATGTTTTCTGAAATGTGAATAATATGGAAGCGAAGTGTTCTTTCTCTTTCTCCTTTACGTCATTTTTCTGGATTTTTTCGGTCATTTTATAGGTCACTTTTTAAATATTTTCAGGTCATCAAAATCTGGGCCCTGGTCATTATCAGTGTTATCATCATCTGATGTCACACTTCTCATACAAACCAGTGAACCATTTGTTAGCGAGGAAAGAAAGAGATGAATCTAAATTTTTATGTCAGTCTAACTGGGGGGAAAAATGAATAAGCACTATCATACTACAACTGCCATTCATAATCTTCCTCTCTCATATATTACAATATGTTCACTTAAGGACACTCACAGTGTTCTAGAAACCACTCAAGTAGAACCAAATTCATGAATAGTGGAGCTGATTAAGCATTTTAAAGGGTCCTCTTCATTCAACATGGCACATTCACACTTCGAACTGCAGCATTATGGAAACAGATGAATTTCACAGTTACACATCCTGTCAGACACATCATTTGCAACCATGCGAATTTGAACATGTCCAATTATCATGAAAACTATCATTTCAGCCCAGGCCAGCCATATCATTTGCAGCATCAATTACTGTGAAAATGTTTTAAAAATGGTGTCAAGATTCATCTGGAGTTTCCTTTGTCTTAAAACATTTTAACAATACATTGATAAAATTTTTACCTGTGATTTCTCTTGAGTTTTACTTTCTCCTTGCCTTTTTCTATTTGGTTCTAATGGTCTGCCTTTTTTTTCTGACGTTCTGATGTTTCCTAATTTTTTCGTTTACTGCCCTTTCATTTACTTATTTTCTTAAGTGTTTTGACATCACTGCTCTTTTTCTTTTTTTATCAACTTATGTTGGAACTCTTCAGTTAAGACTGGTGGACATGTACACCTCTTCATTTCTACAAATTTTGTAAAATCTCTTAATTTGTTTTATCAAGACTGCACTCCCTTCATCCACCAGTCTCTCTCTCAGTCTTTCCTCTAAGAAGTGCTTCTCCTGTCTCATAATTTAGAGGCTTTCTGTACAATTATCATCCATACTGAGGTCTCCTGCTTTACAATACATGGGTACCAACATTTCAGAACGTATTGCCTCCACCTTCAGGCACAAACACATCTATGCTTAAGATGGAGGAAACCAAAATGCTGGTACCCATCAACTAGACTACATGATGCCATAACATATATCACAATATGAATCTTCACTGTTGTGAAAACCTTGAGTCTGATAACCATCCACATTCTTCATATGCAACAATGAGAAGAAACTACATTCCATATATGACATGTATTTGTAGTTGGAAAAAAGTTGTGTGTTAAATAACAAGCATTACAGAAATTGCAGTCATTAGTGTAACTCAATGATTAACTTGTAGCAGTAAATTTGTCTCAGCCCCAAACCTCTTAAACATTTTAATCCAAACAGAACTGACACTTAACATTTGATCTCAATTAACAAGCACCACATACCCTTATCTGGTATTCTTTCAGCTTGCCATTCACCATTATTGATGCCTGCTCTGTCACCTTCTCTGTGATCGTATGAGCAATACTGAAACAAAGACAAAATCACACACCAAAATAAGTAGTAACAAGATTACAGAATTCCTCCTCCAATATTACATTGATGAATAAAACATTCCTGTGTGGAGACACTGAGTTACTGATATGTTTATAAAGCAGATACACTGCACTTCAGTTAATATGAAATGCAAAGTAATCATATGGCTCTGTTAATACCAAAATCTGCTTAATTCTCGGATAGAAGGGGGTGGGGGGAGGCTACACAGGAATCAAAATATCTGACAAGTTAGAAAGAAGTCCATTATAAGCAGCAAAAGAAAATTTTTCGTATCACAGAAAGCATCCGATCTCCAGTTCAACTACCACCACATAAATAAACAAATGTGTAAAAACAAAAGTAGTTAATAACGACCATTTATGAACCAACCTGGTACTCTAGTAGTTAGCACAGTAAAGCAGTCCCAGGTTCAATTCCAATCACCTCCACTAATATCAAAATAATGATAAAAATTTGTCTGTGTTGTGTACTGACAACGCTGTGACCACCACCCAGTCCAATGCAGATCCCTGACCTCCCTAAAGCCCTTCAAAGGGCCCTGTCCTCAATTATACAGCCAGTACATTTTTGACTTAGCCCCTTCTATGATCTATTAACTATAACCATGTATAGGCCAAAGATGAGGAATGATAAAGTACGTGGCAAGAAGACTCCTCCTTGTGTCTACTAAAAATCTGTCTGTATGACAACCAATCACCCCAAAGTGAGGGAACAGACAATTCCCAAAATGTTACATATATCAGAAATACCTCAGACAATGGATAACGGCAATTATGATATTCATATCCTATCCTATTCTACTCTTACACACCTGTAATACGTCTGTTCCTCTGTGTAGTTCTTGTACTCATCATCTTCCACTTTGGCCTTTTGTATCACAACTTTAGCCTTCTCTTCTTCAGACATCTTGGGATTCAGTGAATTATCATCACTGTTCTTCTTCAAATCTATAGACAATTAGTTCAACTTATAATGGTACAAGATAACAAAAACAATTTTAATTATTACAATGAAATTACCAAAGTACCCTGAACCAATATACAAACATCTTGTTCACTACATTGGCCCGCATATTCAGGAGTTGACTATACAGACCAAAACCTTGATTTTACACTTTTGAAGGGACTATCAAAAAATAAGGGTAAAACTTAGGAAAGTGTTAAATTAGGAAAATGAAAATAACATAAGAAAAATGTGGGTTGCTTTATACCATAACTTTCTCCTCCAGGTTGGGGGTTGGGCATAAGGTTCTAAATTGTTCAGAAACCAGATAACCAGCCTAGGATGGATGGGCTGAATGGAAATTGACATCAGCTATGGAGTAAGAATAAAAGATTATAATGGCAACTTGGAATGTCAGATCAATGTTACAAACTGGGAAGACGGAAGAGATACCAAACGAAATACAAAAATTCCAAATAGACATAATCGCAGTACAAGAAATTCGTTAGATCAGACAAGGAAGGACTGAAAAATGTGATTATACTATGATTTACTGTGGATCAGAAAAAAGGAGAGGACAGTTAGGTATGGGATTTATGATAGCTAAGGCAATTAGAATATAACACAAATTGAAACTATCCACACCAGAATAGGTAAGGTAAGAATTAACCTTTATCGGACGGGCCATTTAATTTCCAGTAGGGGCAGCTGGACGGAGTTTATTTAAATGCCCGCCCTTCTAGAGCGATGAAATTGTAAGCATGTTTCTGAAAATGGTGTAATTTCTACATTTTTTATGATAAACGAACGAAATGAACGCTCCTTTAATGTAGAAAGAATATAGAATCAGATATTCTAATTTATAGATTTTAATATCTGTAAAAAAAATGTTACACTCATTCCAAAAAAAAAAATCCCAAAATTCATACATTTTCTGCACCATGCGTTCTAGCAGTGTAATACATTTTCTGCACCATGCGTTTTAGCAGTGTAAGTTCTTGTGGTGGCCTCACATACAATGCCTATCTCTTGTTGAAGCTTATTTATCGTATGGGACATGTCGGTATAAGTGTGGGCGTCTGAAATCTCTCTCCGTTAGAAATACACAGGAGAACGTTCTCAGAATATGGTGTTGCCAGATCAGTCATTTGTTCATTCATTGCAGTCAAACCATTGTGTTTGTAACGATTTTGAAACATCGCAATATGAGGTCAGCCACCCATGACATCATGAACCATTTTTGAAGGAAATATTCAGTTCGGCTAAGACGTGAATGAGATATTTGTATGTGTGGGTGCGATTTATGGCTTCTGGTCGTGGTCTAAGCACTGTGCTGGCAGTAAACCATTCACTGCTAGAGAGCCGTATAATTCACCATGGCCACACGACGACGTCGTATGGAAGATATTGAAACTGAAAAACAGCTGTTCAATGACACAGATTCGGACTGCTATTCAACCGATTCGGACAGTGGCGAAGAAAGTTGGAATTCTGATTCCGCGGACGAAGGGTCATCACCTTTGTCGGCAACTTGGGGACCGCCAGACCAGTGTGGCTGGAGAGGTGTGAATAATTATTCCGGTGTAGCTG